GGTGTAAAATGACGTACAGTATGCTTTGAATAAAGCTATTTTGACTTCTGTCGTGCAGCCAGCGAACCTGCGAGCCAGCATATTGCCCCTTACCGCCAGAACCCTACGCTCTCTCTCAATGTCCTCGTCATCCTTTAGATTAGGTGTCACAATGTGCCCAAGATACTTAAAACTCTCAACCTGTTTGAGTGTAGTACCGTTCAAAAGCACCGGAGGAACATGGGTGGGGCAATGTTTACCCGCTCTAAATATCATTAATTCACTCTTATTAGAGTTATATTTTAACCCATGCTCCATCGCGTACTGTTCACAAATTGACAATAATGTCCTCAAACCCCCTACTGAGGGGCTCAGCAGCACCATGTCGTCCGCATAGCTAATATTATTAACACTGGTGCCGTCAATATGGCACCCCATATACAGTATGTATTTTAGACCTTCTACCATTCTTGTAAATCGTGGGAGGGGAAAGATTGAGTTTTCAGTAATCACACACACGGTAAATGCAATACAGTTGTTTCACGCTGGTATTATGCAAGGTTGTGGTATCACTTAGGACGACTACGGCCCTTCCAAATTAAAAAAAAGCTTCTGTATAATGATGCAACCTGAAGCAACAGGGAGAAAAAGCAATAATTTAAATATTATTACTACTAAATTATTCTGAGGTCAAATGCTACTTGGCTACATCATTACTATCTCATAAATTGCTGAACAGCAGGTAAATTAATAATTCACTTGTAAGTAAGTACCTAAGTACTTATACTCAACTCTTTCGTACACCATGATTTTCTACCTTGTTAACCAATCACCTGTCATAGAGACACTCCAGTTTATAAAAGGCAGTCGATCCGGGAGGTCACCCCAGGCGCCAGCGTGCCGCGATCTCAGGGCGCCACACGTAAGGAAATCAAACGATGATATTAAAATGACGTCTCTACATAACATTATCAAATACTAAGAATTATAAATAGATCAGTATTTAGATATGTTATTTTACCAAACACCTATTTCCTTTTTTTTTTAATAGTGTAGGTCGGCAAACGATTCTACGGATTACTTGATGTTTGGGAAGGGTTAAAGGGGAGGGGTTGAGCCTCCAATAACCTCAATCACATGGCAAAACACAACGATGATATCGTGGTCTCCGGACGAACCCCTTCATTCGTACCGAAACTTGGCTATCCCATGTTAGTAGTCCTATTACATTTAAAATTGTAATCAACTACCTACCTATAAAAACAAGAAAACAAACCAACGAAATAGGTACCTGTCTTTTTACAAGATTTCATACCTTGTCTTCGTCATCATCATCATCAGTGCCCACATTTTTCTTTTACTTGCTCCAATCCAGGGTAAATTATTGCATTTGCACCAAGAGCCCCGTTTTCCAGCTTTTCTGTCTGGGGTAATCAAGTGCGGCGTAATTTAAATAGGTAATACATAATCCAAACTTCCAAACTAAAGTTATAAATGCGAACGTAACTCTGCCTCTCTGTCTGTCTTTTCTTCACGCCTAAACTACTGAACCTACCTATTTGTGTGAGATTTAGTAAGTAGGTACCTACAGACGTAGTTTGGAACTCGAGAAAGGACATAGGATAGTTTTTAACAAAAATCTGCAGGAAGTCACTATTCCACGCGTACAAAGTCGCAGGCACAAGCGAGTAATACTTTATTTCTATTTATTTTATAGAAAGTGGAGATATATAAAAAATAGCAGGTAGATGACTACCTCACTTTCATTTACAAAATATTGTGACACGATATGCAGACGAAAATCCTTAGGTAAATCCATCAATGAATAATCGCTTCCTATCTTCATTACACCACTAATGCAATTATTGTACAATATTGCACAATTTCCCAAAATTATTACGACATAGAGAAAACAAATATAAGTGTAGCGTTTCACGAAGCCATCCTCACTCTCAACGGACAGTTGTCGAGTAAGATTTGTGATAGCAAGCATTAGCATCTTTCCTCATCTAACTTAAGAGTTTCATTTTGTTACAGAAGTTAAGTTGGTGACCTGAGCGGACGAAAATAAAACACAGCATTGAAGAGATTCAGGAAATTATTACCGAAGATGTGTGTGCGACCTACAGAAGATGTAAGCCTAGCCCAGATCCTAATAGAAAACGGTACGGTCAACGTAACCGATCACGAAGCAGAACTAACTACGAACTTGGAAATAGAGAGAAATCCCGTAGCCAATCCAGAGATAGATCCCGCAGCCGTTCCACAGTCAGATACCGTAACTCATCTCGAAGAGTATCTCATCGACGCCCTTAGAAGGAATCTTGTGGTCTTTTCAGAGTAAGTTCTTGCAGACGCTCCAAAGAGAGAGATCTCATGGTTGTTCTAGAGGAAAATCTCGCAGTTGCTCCAAAGACAGAGATCTCCTGGTTGCTCCAGAGCAAAGATCTCGCAGTTGCGCCAAAGAGAGATTCAGAATTGTCTCAGCAGAATCAGCTGTGAATGTCTTCTGTCTTGCGTAACCGCTCTAGAGAAAGATCTAGAGATTGTCGAAAAAGAAGAATTCGAGTCACTCTATTTACAATAAGATAGATAACTAGATACTCACAGTAAATGTGTTTAGTAGAAAAGCAAATACTTAATACAATAATGTGCATATTTGTGTCAACTGTCATACCTACCTAGGTACTTACGCATATCTTCGTCCTTATAACCTTATCTCTTGATAACTAATGTTCATTTATGTCTTCATATCTTATGTACTTTAGGTAATTATTATTGTAATTATAAATAAGTTCATATAAGGTATAATTGTTTAAACTTCCTAAAAGGTTATTTCAGAACAACAGCACTAAGGACAGTCTACGTATGGGACGGACCCGCGAGGAAACGTTTTTAAGGTACGACAGCTATATCTCATCAGGTGGATCGCCTGATGCTCGTCACTTCAATTTGCAGTGGTAAAAACTCTAGTTACTTAGTATAAGTAGGTATTAAATATCAAAATTAGACAAATAAATGCTATAACTAAGTACCTATCTACACTCCTAACCTAACCTACACCTAGAATTAAGTTAGCTTTAGGTTTTTATTAAAAAAAGTGAAAATAAATAAATCAGTAAACAGAATAAACACTTTCGATTTATTTCATTTGCATATTTTGTGAAGAACGCATTCTAGGTTGGTATTAATGACCATCAACCACTGTATATTTTGTGAAGAGGAAATAATCATCCAATTACTTACTTCTCGCTTCTAGGGTGGGGCGAAAGGTGTTTTATTCTTACAGACTAAAAATCACACTGTTCCTTCTCCTAATTCGAGCAGAGCCGTGGTACCTACATAATTGCGCTTGTATCCGCAACCCACCGAACTACTAGCTCTTTATTCTGCTCCCTTATCTTCAGTTCAGCTCAGTACCTGATAAAAATTTGATCTTAATAGAATCTTATCATAAAACACTTTTTTAATTATAAGTAAGTACCTACTGCACAATGGCGTTGTAGTTACAGCGGTTTGCTTTGAAAGTTGCCCAGGACATCTTGTTGCGAGTTCGATCCTCGTACATAATCATTACACATGTGATTCGAAGAATGTAATGAGTAGATAACAGCCATACCATACGATACCAATTGATATGCGCAATTTTGTATTTCTACCCTAAGTATTTATATGTTATAATAAATAGCAACACCTTTGTATTGCCAACAATTTAGAATTTGTTGTATATAAAAATGGTTGAGGCTCAGAGTTTAGGCTGCTATTAATAGTTCTATTTCACTAGTCTAGGTACTATGAATGTAATCAGTTCACATACCTACTTTTTTTTTACTGGCCTGTCTTGTCCCACTGCTGGGCAAAGGCCTCCCCATCTCGCTTCCACACCTCCCGATCCTTTGACCGTGTCCACCAGTCTCGACGATAGGCGTCTAGATAATAGCCAACCTCTCCTGCCCGTGGTACACCCTGCTAAACAACAAACGAGGCTCTGGCGACCCACCTACCACTGGACCAGCATGGTGGGACACAAACGGTCATAACCCCCATGTGACGATCTAGACATTACTTTTTGAAAAATAAATAAATAAACATCATAGTGAGATTCTTATTTTTTGGTTTCGCTTCAAATACTTAGGTACAATAAATAAATTTACAAAGTTTCTGAACGTGGCCATACTTAAATGCGGGAAAATAAAAGTTCAAATCGCTGTCAAACAAAATGTTAAAAAGAAATGGAAACTTGTTGCTATGACAGCAAAAGTTGTTTTTATTCCGTTGTTTTATTTACTTCTTGGATACCGCTGGTACTAATATCGATTAAAATATAGTTTTACTTCGATATAAAATACGTCGAAGTACCAAGATATGATAAAAATGGGTGAAAAGTGAAATTCGTTAATCTAGTACCTAAACGACGAATTCTTGTTAACTTATTGCTAGATAAAGGTAATGTTATTTACTTGTTTTAATTTGTATTTTTGTAGCCCTGTGTTGTACTATTTGGGTTTCAAATTTGCAATTTAAGTTAACAAATGATTTAGTTGACATTTTGTGTGTTACCACATCAATGCTAATAGTTATCTATCTAAATATATTGCATATGTAAGTTATTTATTAGTAACTAGATCTTTACCGTGACTTCACCGTATAGTAAATAGCCTATTTTCACCAGGGACAGGATAGCTCCCCATCAATTAAACATTTTTAATAATTGGTCTAGTGGTTTTAGAGCCTTTTGAAATCGAACAAACAATCAAAATCAAATCCAATATTATAGATTATATTTAGTGCCCAACCTGTATATAAAAAATAAAAACTAATAAACGGTTCAAACTATTTTGAAGAAGTTTTGTATGTAAAGGGCTTCAGACATGAAAAATCTGCTTGATTCTAACTAGGTTCCATTTTAAAATATAAATAAGATAGGGCTCCAATACCAAAGAATGTTCTTCCAGGTTGAAAGTTTATAACTACACCCATGTATCAGTATACACATGATTTTCAGACTGTCAATCAATAAGATGTCCGCTAGAAATGTCCACACTTTGCAAGAATTGATAAGTCAAACTGAAAGCACAGAAGATGAGGACATCATTCTTGATTTGTACAATGATCCGAGAGTGAAATGGTTCAGGGACCGTATCCTTGCGTTCATCGGTATGGATGACGAAGAACTCTTCTACAACATGTTGGACTATGAAGATGCTAAGCAGAAGTTTATTAACTTCTTAATGTCTTCTATCAAGTTTGGTGAAATATCCCTGGACAAGAGAATGCTGTATGTATCTAAAGTGATTGTCGACAAGTTGATTCATGAAGATAAAGAATTTACTGAGTGGAGTAAGTATTACTAGATTCCCTAACCCTAACCTTCACACCAGCTTACAATAACTTTTTCATAAAAACCTTTTTGCTGAACAATAGAAGTAGAACCTATTTGGTAATTTTATTCTCAAAATGAGACACAATGAATTGAAATACTTTTTTTTTGTTATTGTCAACATCGCTATCTTATAGATGGATACTGTATAATATATATTATACTTTGAATCATATTTACAGGAATCTTACCACCAGTGGTTGCGGACACTCAACCCCAAAAGGGGGGTAAAAAAGGTAAAGGAAAAGGCAAAGAAGCAAAGAAGCCGGATACTGAGGATGGCAAATCAGCAAAAGGCAAAAACGTAAAGGGCGTCAAAAGCGCAAAATCTAAAATAGGTAAGTATGAATAACAATACATTTTCAATTCATATTTTTTTTCTCAGGTACTAGGTATAGTAAACCTGTAGTAAAATATTCATTAGTAAGTACCTCCTTGCTAGAATGTTAATATAAAACTACTACCTACTCTTACACAGTTTCACATACGACTTGTCTCCTATTAGCCGTAGCGCGATCTTTTTAGCACAGACGCTGCCTGTTGGCTGGATGGACTATCGAACATAAAAAGAATTGGTTGCGAATTAACCAATTATTTTTATATAATAAATGAACTTAACCGCATTACAAAAATTAAGATGGAGCCTTATAAAGGCTGTTTTCTTACATTTAGAGGGGATAGAATCATGGGGGCTGGGGGATCGCTTAATGACTAAAGACCACTTCGTTGCTTCTCCTGCTTCTCCTGGCCCAAGCCGGGGCTGCGGTCGGTACATTCTGGCGCTCGATCTGCATAATTATTATTTCAATTTGGAAGTATTTTAAATAATTATTTTTTAATATTTGAAAATGTATTTTATGTGTTTTTTTATCTTTTTTCAGATGAAATACTTCCTTCGACTGGTGGTAAGTACACTTTTTATACTAAAAAGGCGCTTTTGACAATATCAAGCATGACAATATTTTATTTTATGACTGGCATACGAGGGAAACGGCGCGACAAAATTCGCAACGTAGAAATTCGCTAAAAAAAACAGATTTACTTACATAGCTCGCACAATTTGCAAGGTTAAGTGGCAATGGGCAGGTTATATCTTTAGAAAGACTGGCGGCCGATGGGACCAGTAAGTTGTCGGTCACGGAATAGAATACGTAGCGTGAGCAGGCCTCATGCTAGTTGGACTCACGACATTTTTATAGTACCGGGGAATCATTGAATGCGGGCGCGTTCACCCCCTAGGAAATAAATCACAGTACCTTTCGTCGTTATATACTGACTGCACGATTGGTGCGGTAGCTGGGCAACTGGCTGCCGTGCAACGTGCCGCGGGTTCGATTCCCGCACGGAATAACTCTTTGTGTGATCCACAAATTGTTGTTCCGGGTCTGGGTGTCATGTGCATGTTTGTATGTTTGTAACCGCACCCACGACACAGGAGGAAATCCTAGTGTGGGGAAACGTTATTTTTAAAAAGAAAAAAAAAGATACACATATAATTGTTGTTTTTTATTCTTGTAGAGGCGGATGTAGAGACTGCAGCAGGAGCTATAGGGGCTGGTGATGAAGATGACAGGTTGACGAAAGAAGATGATGGAGCTACTGCAGCCAATGACGACAAATACTATTTCCCTCCACGTAAGATTAATTTTCATATGTAGGTAGTTACATCTACTTAATTAGAACAATTCAACGACGAATTAGTGAGTTTTTGAAACGGAGGCATAGCTTCACTGACGGACGAACCGACTATTTTTTTAAAGTACCTACCACGTTGTTGTATAGTTAAAACAAAACTTTGACTTTAGGTGACCTAGAAATGTTTACTTTATGGTAGTGGAGTTAAGGTTGTAGTTTGAATGAATTTACATATTTATAGATACGTATCTACTTTATGTGACAAATATAATATTTTATGTATGAGGTTATAAATTAGTCTCGTGATTGTCATAAACTGATCTTAGAATGCTACCTGAATTAGAATCGGTGGTTTCATACAATATTTTATTTCAGCGCCAGAAAATCTGGATCCTGATATCGATGGAACTTTGGAATTCTATACTGTTGTTGTAAGAATATTGTCTTTTCCACATAGGTAGTATTGCGAGTTTGCTTTACGTTAGTCGGCAGTCGACACGTTTATGACGTTCGGCGCTCTGATTGGCTGGCTCCAAGTTACCCAACCAATCAGAGAGCTATACGCGGTAATGATATTCGATTTTTAAAGCAAATTCGCACTAGGCATTCAATTTTTTTTAGATTGAAATGAAAGTATTTAATGAACGATTTACTCACGTGAATTAACTGAAAAAAAATAGGAGTCACGACGCGCATGCTGCTCATGAATAAGAGCCCTGTGGTAACTTGAAACTAGTCGAGCTTATTTCACTAAATTCACCTGAGTAGGTCGTTCTTTTTTTTCAGTTTATTCTGTAGGTCTCAAGATGTTCACTATTAAAAAAAAGTATTAAGTACTTCTTTTATTACTCACCGTATTATAATACACATGTAATTGTTGTGTACACCTGTATCTTTTTATTTACTTACGCTTTTATTGCTACAGAATTGTTTTATGCTTAGATAATTGTATACACCTTTGAGTGACCCACCGTAGTATTGCTACACTTACGTTATAAACTGGATAAATTAAAAAGCCGGGGTTGCCCGTGTAAGTGCAAAAATGCACCAACCCTAACCCTTAGCAGGAGAAGAAACGGGGCTTTTAATTAGTAAGAGTCTTGACACTCCCTCTCGTCCCACCAAAAATAGTACTGATAGAGTATGCACATTATCTAGATAAGCTTCTCATATCCAAACTGACAATCTTCTAACAAAAAGTAAGTAAATTTAAATTTTCGCAGTTGACCTTGAAACATCCGCCTTAAAAACACCCTTCTCTTCCTCCAGAGATCAGTACCCCGCGTGATTAAATATCCAAAATTGATCCCAATATTTGGTGAGCTGACTCCCCAACTAGCGCACCGCAATCGCCGATACCTCTACTTCCTAAGACAGACGCAAGATCCCATACCACTCAGTGCCAAGGAAATGTACACCACATTGAAGATGCCTGATTACTTCCTCACTGGAGTCTTCACTGGAAAAGTGCTTATGAGTCTTGGTGTGCATTTGAAAGAGGTATGTATGTTCAATTATATTGCATCAATATTGTTGAGGATAATTGTCTTAATACCATTAGTCTTCCTGTGCGATTTCTAAGAGCTGGTTCTTAAAACAAAAAAGGCGTTTTTTATGGTATACGGCAAACGAGCAGACGGATTATCTGATGGTAAGCAATTAGCGCCGCCCGGGGACACCCGCGTCGTCCAAAAAAGTAAAAAGTGCGTTGCTGGCCTTTTAGGGATAAAGGTTTCGGATATTTAAGGATTGGGAAGGGATGGCGAGAGGTAGAGAAATTGGGACTCCAGTAACCTCACTCACACGGCGAAACACAACGATGTGGTTGTTTCACGCCGGTCTTCTGTGAGGCCAGTTTATCAGTCCAGTCGAGCCGACCCATTCGTGCCGAAGCTTGGCTCTCCCACACTTAAAGTCGAAAATCGTGTAAACTACTCAACCGAGTTTTATTTTGATTATAAAATTTAGTTTCTACTCATACACAATACACAATTATATCAAGTTGTAAACATTTTTATGGAATATGGCAATAGCGCTTTTAATTAAATGCCTTACTGTAAACCCAACCCCGGTAAATTTTATATAGAGCAACGGTGTTCATATGAATGTGTTTTAGCTGTGAGGTGTGTGTGAATTTACCAAAAAAATCCAAGGCAACGTTTAAGAAAAAGAAGGAGAATTAATATATTTTCTCGAAAACCAGGCTACGATCCCATTGTTCGAGAGACAGTTCCGCGAGATCACATTGATGTCAGCTGATTCTAACCACGCCGTGCTGTCTAGACAAGCATCTTATTCTGGAGCCCATGAACAGATTATAGACGCTGGATCACAGGTACATTTTTGTAAATAAGTTTAATTTTACAGGTTTAGCAAAATCAAACTTTACTGCGCATGTAATAAAGATCTTAAAGACATTTGTTTTTTAATGTATTTTTTTTAATATTATTATGTCTACGTTGCAAAAGAGAGTATTGCCAAGCACCGGATACCAAAACTCGACCTTATTATGCAAGCTTGATGATTGTTTTTACTATGTAGGTGCTAAACTTCATTTTTATAATCAGGTGAACTATCTCCGGCCTTCAGATTATAGAAGAATGTCTAACATAGCTAGGGGAGAAAATGCTGAAAAGAGGTCAGTACGTTAATATACCGTTATATGGAGATTATATTGATTTACATACTACTAGTCAAATTCAATACTTTTATCCAAATTTCAAAAACGATACATTGCTATGAAGTTCGTTTGAAACTGCAAATTATAACGTCATAGCATTTTTACGTCAAATAGTTTTACTTATTTCTTAACAATTAGCTGAAGGTATCGAAAATTTAGTGTATCGACAGATCGATGAATAAAAGTATAGTAAAAGTATAGTATATATATCATTTTTAAGTATTTTATTGTATTGAAACGTCGAATCAACTTAATTAATTCGACGTTTCAATACAAAAATAAATTTTATTTTTGACCTAGGAAACTACCTATTTGTTTGGTAGGTATTTTATGGAAAAACAATGATTCGATATGAATAAGCCAGCTCGCTCGGTGTGAGACTATGATGTTCCGCCTCTTCAGTGAGGTTACCGGAGGCCCTCAAGTGCGTCTTTCGCTATTACAAAAGCGTGTTACCTATTACAAAATAAAAAAAGAATATTTTTTTTTCAGAATGAAGAACATGCATGCATCACCAGACGTATCATTAAATTGTTCCGTGGGCCGCTCTTTGAACCGATCAATAACCGATGTACGTACCTTTAAAATATTTAGAAATTATCAATCAATTAACATATATAGCTGTGTTCTAAACGAACGGCATAATTTAAAGTAGAAAGGAGTCTTAATTTTATTCCAGGCTTAGTATTATATTATATAGAGCCTTCATATTATTATATCTATCGCTAATATCATCATCAGCCTGCTTCACCACGGATGTCCATGATGTTGATGTTATGTACGCATCTACTGAGCTCGATGTTCAGGTCTTCTCATCCAACCACTACCAGCCTAACGCTATACCAAATTTTATTCAGATTCGTTTAATTGTTTTTGCGAGAGAGAAAAAATCACCTACAATCATATCCATACACTTTCACAAACTCGCATTTCTAATATCGGTTACTAAAATTAATTGATTATTTTTTTTTATTTAAATATAGAGTACAGGATTCTCCAACGCGTCCTTCGGTGATCTAGGCGCGCCTGATACAAATGAGAAAACTTCAGCTGATGAAGTCATCACAGACATAAAGGATCTAGTCGCTATTGTCGATTGGTATGTATATAAGGTATTTGTATTTTACGATTGACTACGTAGCTAACTGTTGGCTGCGTAAAAGTATCCGCGTCGTCTTTCGCACATTGTTACTGATAAATATGAGCCCCCACCGTGCCACAAAACAAGTCGGGTTACCTTGTCAAACGGTTATATGACTTATTCAATAACCGTTTATTAAAAAATATAGATTCATTTTCTTTTCATTATGTTCATTAATTCAGTTGATTTTTAATAACCGTTGCGCCTTTCGCCTAGATTACCCTGAGCGAAAATAGTCATTTTATGATTCGATTTGATTTTTGATGACCCCTAACAAAAATAAGATCTTAGACAAATATTACCTATTTCTATTAATAATTCAGGACTATAGAACACATAGAAGGTGAGATCCAGCTTCCGATGCCGAACATACCGATGTTGCACGAAGTCCACACTGTGGAGGTCGTTGACCCCGGGCTGGTGTCTCAACTAGAGGAAGCTGTAATGATGTGGCAACATCACATTGATAGTACCATTGCCGCTTGTTTGGGAAAGGTGAGGGCGATTTTTATGGCAAAAGCAGCCCGCTTGTGCTATTAATATGTTATTTATCGCATTTTATTAGGACTAGGTGGTTCAAAAGAAATGTTAATAACATTACATTTTAGTCTTCAAAGGTAAAATTTATTATTGTAGTCTATAGTTTGACGATGAAGGCACATTTTTTAGTTCAGTTTCAAAACAAAATTGCTTTCAGCGCCATCTTTTTATTTATGTAATAACTACAAGCTTGACAACAGGGTTACTTCTGTTCCAAAGATGGCGTTACGCATTGCTTTTCTTAGTTTTATTTGCGGTTGAAAATTGTTGAACCTGTATTTTAATGTACCTTTTTAAAAATACCTCAGATACTTGCATAGATATAACAGATATAAAAAACGTATCTTGTTTTAAGGTTGTTATGCAGTTAATTTATTGGTACGAAAAATACAATGTCTAAATGTATATAAAATGTTTAAAATTCTTTCAGAACCCTCCAAATAATTGATCCAGGCCTAAGTGTGTTGTGTATGTTAATTTGTATGATTGTCCTCTAATCCTATCCTATCCTAATCTAGAGCAGGGCAAGTTTTTAAAAAGAAAAACAATTGCGATAATTTTTATTCTCAGTGCCTACTTAGTACTTATTATAAGGCTGAAATTGCTGATGTGTTCTTGAGTATTAAATGGACATGCCATTCTTTCTTTATCGATAGACTCGCGAAGGTGATGGACCTGTAGCAGAATACAAATACTGGCGTGAACGAGACGCAGAGATATCCTTATTAGTTGAGCAACTGAAACAACCTATGGTGGTCAAAATACTGAATCTGTTGGAACGAGCTAATTCTAAGTATCTTGAGGTGAGTGGATTTTGTAGGTATGTTTTATTAACCTGCAACTTCTCCAGCATTGTGATTACTTCAATAAACACTTAAACCTTCGTTAGGAAACACTGTTCTAAAATCGTACTATCATCGGTGCAGTCATTTTTGAGTATTTTGCGTAGACAGATAGATGCAAAAAAATGACTTCTTTTTTAGTGTCTAAAGAGACAACAGATAAAATGATAATAACGAAGTTTTTTGCTTTGCCTTTTCAAGTTCTTCACAACAATTTTATTCTAGTAAATGTGTTTACAGGAGTTCAAAAACTACAAGGAAAAATTAGTTGACCAATACAATATGGCGAGTGACAATCTCAAGTTTCTGTCTACATTGATGCGATTTTTTACTGTAAGTGTAACTTATTAATTTTATAATGTATTTTTATAAACGGAATTCAATTAAAAACGATAGGCGATCAGTTATTAGCGTTGCTTTAATGCCCGGTTCCTATATTTAACGAATCGTCGTTGTATACGCATTACGACCAAATGACATTACGAATAGTTATCTTGACCGTCTACTGACGGTTAAAATATTTATAGGAACACCACAGACACCATAGATCTCCATACAATTCGCTTACCGATATCCGTTAGTTGCAAACCGTCAGTAAGTTGCACGACGAGACGTTTATTATAGGAACGGTTTTAGCTTACGAGTCGTATATAAAACTACTATTCGTAATTAAAACGGATCGTTTCTCAATTATAGGAACCGGGCGTAAGCCGTGTGAGGTTACCGACCGGCCTATCATTTTTACGCCTCCCCTCTCCCCTAATCTCTTCCCAAGAAAAATACTTTTGAATGTCAAATAAGGAGTCCTTAAGTTTGTTAAGTATATTTTATTCGTAAACTTTAATTCCATCACTACCCATGGAGGTACTTTCTTTTGATTATCTTTCCACTCACGGGACCACAGAGTCCCGGACTTTTGGAAGGCGTACGAGGGGCCGAAGCCAACTCGCAGAGGCCCTTTGAACAACTTTAATATAAGTGAAATGGGACATCAGCTGGCAATTATCCCTGTATGCACTATGAAAGTACACCCAAGGACAATCCCCGGTTGATGGAGGACTATTGCGAAATGTGGTAAAAATTTATAAGGTTATGGGTATGGGTTGCTACGGACTAGTGGATATGATAACTATGGAAATACTATGGCCCCTGCCCCTGACCAATATTGATACATACGGATAAACAGGCAGGGGGTGACTGGCAATCTCAATTAATGGGCCCCCGGAAACGGCCGCTAGCATGTAGCGACACGGGGGCAACATACGTTGTTTGATTATTATTATTATCAATCTTGGGGCTAACATGACATTCAAAGTAAGACTGTTTTAATCTTACACAATAGTATATACAAGTTTTCTAGCTCTGTCTCTTACCCCCCTTAATTCTTAAAACACTCGTGATCCGTGCTCTTGTCATACAAATTTAATTTAGGTACTTAACATTAATATTTTAGTTCACATTGTTTTATTTAAACCTCTAGGTAATAGAAGACGAATCCACACTGCCGCAAGTGTTGGAGATTCTCCCGGAATTGATGGAGAGTATCTATATGATGTGGGTGCTGTCCAAGGGGTACCGAACTGATGAGACCATGGTGCCTTTGCTGTCCAGGATCTCATGGGCCCTCAGTGATAAGCTGGAGAACATACTCAATGTACACAAGTTGTTTGAGTGAGTATACGGAAATATGGTTTATTTTGTATCGAAATGCATGAAGATTACATAAATCGATAGCTCGACCTTTATACGCGAATCAAGTATAGTTCTAAAGATCATTGTAGTTATATATCAGTGGAAGAATTTTGGAAATCTGACCAAAGATTATCCTCTGCCTACAACCTTACAAATTTTACCTAAGATTGGTTTTTAGGCAGTAAGTGTCTGACACTTCCTCTCGCCACCTAGCTTCACTGACGAACAGACTGACAGATAACTATTCCATTTTGACGTTTCAAAACTACCTTTTTATGGTTTAGTAGGAATACATGATGTTGACTTTGACGTCACGCCCAGGGCAAGATAGGTCAATTAAATTTGATGATTTTCATTCTTTAAAAAAGGTGTATCAATAATAATTTGCTTCAACTCAACAAACATTCCTCGACTTTATTTCCTTCACAGTAAACCCAACGAAGAAGTACTGTCCCTAGCCCGCAATTCCCAGAAAATAATGGAATTGTGGCATCATTTATATCGGGAGACGCGGCGTAACATTGAGATCAGTGGCAAGGGCGCGCGCTGGGAGTTTGACCAGCCCCTACTGTTCACACAGACTGACTACATCGGGACTGTCGCTAAGGATCTCGGTGATGTTGTACAGGTAGGAAACATCTAGATGCTACTAAGTCACGTGGTGATGGCTGACTACTAACATCACCCACGGGTGTATTATAAGGACAAAGGATTGCTTACTGACAAAGATAAGGTAATAGCACTCTCTGGTACAACCGAATCTTTCAAATTGCGATCTCATTTTTAATCTAGTGGCTTGACCCAACTACCTTGCTAACTAAGAAAGAATTGTTCATAAAAATCTTCGGGATACAATAAAAACACACAACATTAACTAATATTGGAAAAACTGATCCTGTTGTTTAGTTACTTACGGGCTTACCAAAACATTTTGCGTTTCATATATCTTATGTTATAAACACAATAAGTACTGCTTAAGTCATTTTTTTCATAAATATTTATATATTTAACTAACAGTTCTCATAGTGTTTTGTTTCGTCTCCTAACTTACCCAGGTCCTAATAGACTTCGAACGGATATTCGGTCTGGAGCTTAAATCCATCATCAGTGACCCAACACAAATAGATGACGTGCGAAAACGCGTGAAGAACTTAGTCTTTCCAATACGAACGATCGACTTTAGCGTATTCGTCTTCGACAATAAGGAGAATTGGGACGTTATTATGGCGGATTTCTGGAACGAAGTCAAGTATTTAGAAGATGAAGCCAAGAACTATATTAATCAGAGTTTTGGAAATTTAAGGTAAAGTACCTATGTATATGTGAAATTGTATATTTGTAAACGCATCCACGGCACAGGAGACAATCCTGGTGTGGGGCAACGTAGAAAAAAAATGTGTTTTTTGGTAAATAACTTAAAAAAGTCACCTTTCTCTGTCGAAACACACATGTGTGTTGAATAAGATACAATGTATTGTTTTGGTCCTAATCATGCTAGTTGGGGGTTTATTGTTATAATTCCGATATTTCAGCTAAGTTGGTAATCCACAATCATTTCTAAGCTGGTGTGGTGAGCAAATGTTTACTATTGCCCACATTTAAAAAGGTTTTGGAATGTGGAATAGATTTCGAAAAAGACTTCTTTCTGATGTTACCAAATTTTTCTGCCTACTGAGTCGAAACTGGTCGTCTAGTCTACTCTTGGCAAATGTTCTCTTCTCTTTATAGATCTTCAGAAGAAGCTCTCTCAGTTTTGCTTAAGTTCTTGGAGTTCGATACTCGCGAGGCAATACGTCAACAACTATCTACAAAGTTTGACCTCGTCATGAGGCAGTTCATCAAGGAGATTACTGCTATTGAAGACAAGTTTACTGTAAGTACCTTCTTTATTAATTATTCTGTGTTAGTTCTTAATGGTAAGAAGCAAATGACAAGTACCTAGATTAAAGAATTACTTATTAGCTATAGCCGTGGTTGAGAAAAACAAAAAACCATTAGTAGAAACCATGGCCAGATAATTTGCATATTTTCTGAATATTTCAAAATCTTACTAATATAATACATAAATAGCTTTCTGCTAAATAGATATGATTTAACTTTGTGATGGCAATAACCAAGAAATGATGAGTAAATACGCAAAGCGCGAATTAAACCCCATTTCACAAATCTGGCCATGGTACGAGACGGCGATGATATAAATATCTGGCCTACTAAACTATCTCCCAAACCAAAAGTATCTAATTTACAGTTAGGTACTTTTGTTTCAATTTTCTTTCTTAATCTTAATTGCTCTGACCATATCCTCACTGCATCACCTAAGGGTTGGCTAGCGAGAACGCTTGTTGGCATTAAACCCACCTTTGTAATTTGTGCATCATCATCATCATCATCATCATCATCAGCCGGAAGACGTCCACTGCTGGACAAAGGCCTCCCCCTTAGCTCTCCACGTCGAACGACAAGTTGCCACCTGGATTCATTGGCTCCCCGCGACTTTGTGCAAATGAAATAAATAAATAAAATTCATACCATAAAAATTTCGCGGTGTAAAGTAATATCAAACACATTTGTTGTATGCAGCGTAATCGTAAGAACCCGCCACTACTTCGCAACCATCCGCCGGTCGCTGGCGCCATCTATTGGGCAAGGGCGCTCTTCAACAAGATGAAACAACCAATCATGAAGTTTCAAAAGGTACTTACTAACATAACTTTTCACACGATAAGATCAAGTCGACTTTGGAATACGTAAAACACTTTACATATTTCAAGATTCTCAATACCCAAGCTATGGGATACAAAAATGGGAAACTGAAATATAAAGAGAAAAATTAACACAGATACAACTAGGCGAAATTGAGTCACAAACATCCAAACATCGCAACTTTCGCCTTTATAATATTAGTAAGATTTGTAAGAGAACAGGTATAAAATCCCGATAACAGCCGTCAAGCAGTAGCTCACCAGACACAAAACCTCGTCTGGTCAGAGAATCCTCCCTGTTCTCTTATCCCACCAAAAAGGTATTGTATCAAAAATTTGGTATGCTGCTTCCTGTGTGGTCTTTACATCTGCCTAAACATGTCCACTATCACACCAGGTACCAGAACTGAACGACTGCGAACAGAAGAAGGAAGCGTTCATGCAATACAAGGCCTTTTCCAAAGTCATCAAGGAGTATGAAGAACAGAAGTACAGGGAGTGGGTGGGGCCGGCTGTACAGTTTGTAGAAAATATGATGAAGAAGAATGTCCTCAGAGTCGAGTTCAAGAAGGAACCTGGTAAGACGGCTGGTCTATTTTATGTTCTATGATATTTTTAGGTATCCGATTGGTACTCACGACGCGTTAGGTAGCCGGGAGGTTGAAACGCCCGCTTGTTATGCATGGAGGTTCAAAACCCAACAAAAGCACTAATGTGGCTATTTTCGAGTTATAAATGTTTAGTTTCTAAGTTAATTTAAACATCACTGAAAACGGTAGAGGAAACAACGTCCAAAAACCTGAACTTATAGTTTCTAATCATACGTTTGAAATCACCATTTTCCCTTAAGCACGCGTATTGATTAATTGCTCAAGCTTCTTAATGCGTGGATAGGCCTTTTCGTAGCAGTGGTCACTTAAAGGCCTTATGATCCACGACTACGCTATAAAAACCCACGTAAAACATTAAAGTTGAATTTATACTGGTTTTGTCGTAGGTTTATATGTAGCCAGATATAGATTCCAAAAAGGTGAATATATTTTCGGTTTAATAAAAGTAATTTGTAACTATTTTTACAAGCAAACGATGATGATGATGGTAAGAATATGTTTTCTTTATTTGTTATTTATATTTAAGAGCGTTGCTTTTTTATTTGAAATACCTATTGTTTATAAAAGAAGAAAAATCTATTATTAATTTATCCCAAGCTAGAGCTTTTAATTTTAAAGAACCTGACACGATCATAGACGTGCACTTTCGTATAAGTTGTACGTCCGACAACACGTACACATTCGGTCTGCTAAATCCAAGTGAAATATAAGTTATAATACTTTCTTCTAACAAATATATTATTTATCTAGTGGTAGCCACTACTACTGGTCGAGGTATGGAGGTGACAGCCGCAGGAAAAGCTCACTTGGAACGTAAGAAAAAGGCTGCAGGGTCCAATGTGTCCCTACAACCGGTTGATGTCGTCAATAAAGAGATAGCTGATAAACGAAGAAGAGATAAAGCTTGTAAGTAAAAATGACATATTATACCAAGTATTTAATAAGATGATGTTTATGTTAAAGTATACGGCAGGTCTCCCGCTAGGTGGACCGACGACATCGTCGGGTTCGCGGGGAGCCATTGGATGCAAATGGCGAGTTGTCGTTCGACTTCGAGGACTAAGATGGAGGCCTTTGTTCAGTAGTGTATATGACATTATTGTATATTCAAATTCGTCCGATAAGTAAAGGCAACGACTGACCAGAAATTTTGAAACAATGGCTTTGGTCTATCTATATGTCTTTGAACACAAAAGCTAAATAAAGAAACATGCATAAAAAAGCAATTTTATACATGACCAAAGTTCTCTACGAACTCGTATAAACGTAAATTAATTCCAACTTTTATATCATCAAAATAATGGTTGTTTTCCCTAAACGAAAGGTAGTTGTAACAAATAATTTATTGCAGTTATTCAAGGGAGTAATTTGAGGTACTATATAAAGAATGTTCGCTTTATTTTACGTGGTCGTTTCTTGTAATTTTGACGGACGGAGATAAAAATGCTTAACAACATTATAAAACAAAGTCGCTTTCTCTGTCTCTATATCTCTATGTATGCTTAAAACTTTATAACTACGCAAAGGATTTTGATGCGTTTGTTTTTAATAGTTAGAGTAATTTAAAGAGAAGGGTTATATGTATGAATAATACCATTCATTAAATAGTTGTGAAAATTATTTTTAGCATTGTACCTGTGCGAAGCGAGGTGAACTACGACAATAATTTTTATTTTTCTTATTAATTAAATAATAATCATACGTTTATTAATCCATTGCGTGATATTACTATACTAACAATTCGAAATTTTCTAGCAATTTTTTTGGTAATAAGTTGCAATCTCTGAAATGTTAGTGTCGTTTTGACATTTCAATAAAAACACTGAATTTGGTAATTTAAATACTGTATTGTACATAATGAATATGTGTTGTGCACCATCTCTCATCAGATTAAAAAGGGTCATAAGTTTCCAACACCCGGTTTCTGAAAGGCTTGTCAACGCTAAAATTATCTAAGCTCCTGTTAAATCACTTGTGAAGTCATCTGATTTTAACATTGATCGGCCTTTCGGAAACCGGGTGTCAGTTATTTCACGTTAGTAAGTCGTTATTTCCAATCATGGTTTCCCACGTTCTGTCTGTGTGTAGTGCATAAATATTAAGCAAGTTTTATTGGACTTTAATATATTTAATTCATTGCAGTGATGCTAATGAGGATACCTGGGCAGCATTACGAAAACGTCAGATCACCCAGCTCTACATCCCTGCTGGCTAAAGAAGGACTGGTATGTACTTATTTTTTTACCTTATAAGAATGTAGAACTTGTAAATGATGATGGCGGTCAGTGTATATTCGTTTCAATATTATTGGCATACAATACACATCATCATCATCTTCCTGCCCTTGTCCCGTTTTATTTGGGGTCGGCGCAATATGTTTTTTTCTTCCATTCTGTCCTGTCACTCGTCACGCTATCGCTAACTCCTCTGTCTTCCATATCACTTCTCACACAATCCATCCATATTTTCTTTGGTCTCCCCCTCCCTCTCCATCCATCCACATTTATACTCATGACTTTTTTTGTTACATGCTTTTCATCCCTCCTTTTCACATGGCCATACCAAGACAAACGGTTCCCTTTCAACTTTTCAGTCACTGGTGCCAATATTATTGGCATACAATACACATGGATCTTATTTCTGTCTATTCGTTCCACTTGGCATACAATAAAGGTACATACACACAAGGCAAAACAATAAAGGTGGCTTATCGATATACTGTAGATACCCCACCAATTCACATGATGTTTGGCTTATTTCTCCGAATTGCTTCCCATATTGTATAAGTTGCTGACAGGCTTATCATCCGAGATAGCGGCCTAATGTAGCCTAATTTAAATGAAAAAAAAGCTTAGAAGCGAAAATTATTAAGTATCTAGTACAGAATTTTTTATTCGTGAAATTTTTGAAGTCATACGTAATTCTTCTTTTGGATTTTTTTGAGAGATTTTACTGGAGGATTGAAACTAGAAAGTTTTACTTAGACTCGTTATTTTTGAAAGAACTAAAGACGAATCGAATTCTCGAATCAGATTTCGTAACCTCAATACTTTCTATAAACTGTCCTAAATCACATATTACAATTTTTTTCACGGGCCATTATAATAACTATTAATTTTAACATAGTTATTCTGTTAAAATAGATCTCTTGCTTTATTCCATTGATCTATCTATACAAACTATTACCATATTTATATTCATTTTATTGCATATAGACGGACGTCACATGGCGTGACCTGACAGTACACAAGCTAATGCAGGAGTACCAACTCTCCTTCCAACCTAACTTTGATAAACACATATTCTTGGTCATCCATGAAGCTGAACTCTTGGAACAACTCGGTGAGTGGAAACCAACTTTATTTCGTTTGAAATTAGATTGGGTTTCATTTGCACAATTTCATCATTATAATGAACCGTGTGCGCAATCGTATCGGAGGTTCGTTTACTTCAAATAATTAAAATAGTAAAATGAATATGGCATAAGTATGCGATTTTAGACTTAATTGACTAAACTTCCTTCGATCTTTTATTAAATCAAAAACGCGAATAATCTTTTGGTCTTGTTCATAATCAAATAGAAATAAATTGTCATCTATTACAAACCAAAACTTAAGCCCTTTTTTGTGAGGAAAACCACCACATCTCCTGCTCTAAGGCCAAGCCAAGGCTCGATCTCACAATTGTGTTTAAGTGTTCATAAGCGGTGCGTATCACGTACCGTCAAAAGAGCTCTCTTCGGTTGTCCTTACCGCATGAAAATATACAATACCTACCGTATACCGTATTCCAACTAGTCAGATTCAAACCTTTTTTTCCAAATGCCAAAAACGAGACGAGAATTTGTATGAAAGTCCAAATTATAACGTCATAGTACTATATTACTATTTACCTCAAGTAGCTTAATTATTTCCTAAAAAATTGCTAGAAAATATCCAAAATTTAGTGTATTGACAGATCGACGAATAAAAGTTTAGTGTTGTGTATAGTAATTTTGTTGGATTGAAATATCGAATTAATTTATTTTTGATCTAGGAAACTAAACAAATAAATTCACATTATCATAGGTTACGACCTCCCCTCCACTATACGCGACGTAGCAATGCAGAAATCCCGTCTGTACTATGAACTGGAAGCGTTAGAGAATGTCATTGCCAAGTACAATACGAGCACATCATCCCTAAGCCCCTCTGAGACACATCTCATGAAGAAGCATCTGCTGGACATGGAACGACATATCCTCCCTGGTCTGACCAGAGTCACGTGGACTGCGCTCGGTATTGGCGATTATATCAATGATATTACTAAAGGTATGTCGCTTTTTTCATTTATAGTTTTTTTTGCCTTTTTTTATTTAGAAAACGTTGCTCCACCCTTGATTTCCTGCTGTGTCGTGTGTTTGCAAACATACAAATTCAAACATATGACATCCAGACATTTGTGGATCTCACAAAGTATTGTTCCGTGCGGGAATTGAAACCTCGACTCATTAATTTGTCTGCTCGTTTGCCAACCTATTACATTATACACGTCAAAAACATTATTCACAACAAATCTCTAGACGTCTAGGTCACCTCTTTCTCGTCAACCACATTCATCATAAACGTCTGAACTGATACACTCCGGAATAGCACATAGGCTACTTTTTATCAACATACCACGCGGGCGAAGCCGCGGGCGGAAGCTAGTTTATAACATTAGTAGGATTAAAATACGCCTTGATCGAAAACTCGGGTTTTCTTCTTCTTCAAATCCAGGTGAAAATTCCCTGCAAGCTGTTTACAAGCAATTAAAAATGGTAGAAAAAGAGGTTCAATTCTTAGTAGACCAACTGGAAGCTTTCGACTTGTTCCCGCTGTTGAAGCCGAAGGACTACTTGGACCCTAAAACTGGTCAGCCTGACCCCACCTGGTTATATCCGTGCAAGGTAACCAATGATATACATAGTAACAGAAAAGATGATCATTTAAAATATTTATTATTTCTGTCCACGTCAGCGCCAACAGATTAACAATATATATTTTGCAGAAGTCTAAAAATCCTAATTATATACTTTTAAAATTTAACTATCAAATAATTAAAGTCTGCAACTAAACATGGGGCAATTGTCATCCGGGTAACGCTGGGAGAACAGCGGCTTTGCCCACGTTATTTAATATTTAATATCTAGTTATTTAATAAGTCAACATTGACCAGTTCTATCCCATATACCTAGACCTATTACGCTAATCGCATAATTTTGCTATCGCTTACAAACTTTTTAACCTAACATCGATGGGAAGAACTTGATGTTTAAAAAAGATTTTTATGAAAAAGGTTTCAGTATCAATTGCGCATAGACTGGCTTTTAGAAAGAAAGAAAGAAAGAAAGAAAAATAATTTATTTGGCATGAACAATAAGAAAAAAAAATATTGCAAAGTTATGTAATTATAATACAACAATAAAAAAAGGCACCAAAAATATAAAAAAAAATAACAACAAACTAATACAACAATGTTGAGTTTAGGAACTAAAATATTTCTTAAAATATAAAATAATATTAAAAAAAAGTTCTAAGTCTTTTCTAGACTTTCTTCTGTTTACAATAGAATAAAAATAATTTACAAAGTTTGCACCATTTTAAAAATCCTGTTCACCACCAGGCATACTTCGTGGAAGTAGAAAATGAACGTCTAGAGCGCATAGCAGTACTCTCCCGTATGTACGACCGTATCGGTCCCATACTGATGAAGCTGGAGTATTTAATCCTTGGCACTAGTACCGGCACGTCTTCTGTGATGAGTGCTTACTATACGCATTGGGAGAAGAAGATCTTTTTGTGTCTTGTCAGGTGAGAGCAAATTGTATTTGTTTGTTAGTATTCTTGGAAGTTGTCAGTCGCGTTTGCGATCACTGGTATAACACCAATTAAGTCTAGCGCAGAGCATGCAATGTACTCAATTCTTATAGGATATTATTATTTAAATATAAGTCTTTAGTTTTTTATTAAAACGTGTCATGTATCTTGGGTGCAGTTCCAAACATGCAATTTCACATACACATCACACCCAGACCCGAAACAACAATTTGTGGATCGCACAAAGAGTTATTCCGTGCGGTAATCGAACCTGCGACACGTTGCATAACAGCCAGTTGCCCAGCCACCGCACCAACCGTACAGTCAAAAGAAACCGTGTAGTCTAAATAGTAAGAAGACTAACAATAATTAGGTGCTATGTAGTATTTATTTATTTATTTAAATAAATAAATATGAAGGCACCGGTGGGTTGGTACAAACATCAACATCCTGATCATCGTCTTCACAGTCCTTCGTAGGGCGTAGGATTTTATAATCAGACCGAATAAATTACAAAAATAACGGACGTCGGCGATCCGTCTCAGATGACAGTCACAGCGCTCGCTCTCCACCATAATGCGCACGCAGAACTGCCAGTTTGACGTTCCGCCAGAGTACGATTTATGGTACCCTCGTCCGATGAATTGTGATAAAACCTCCTTCAAAATTCAATTTTAATAATCGTCGCTCCGACAAATAAATAAATAGTAGAAATATTTACTTATTACCACGAATGTTATTTTTTTTAATTTTGTAGATTAACATTAGAGAACTTGGAAGACTTTCAAAAAATGCTAAGCGAGAATATGCCGATGTTCCAAGTGGATGCCGTCTTGGTGCCGCCGGACATCACAATGCGACCCACGCAGACTGAGGTCTGCAACATACTTGGATACAATGTCAAACATTTTCTTAACAGGTATGTCGAAGGATTGCTCGTCTTCATTATCTTCAATGATACATAGCTAACGAGCACGTAATTGTACTCCAATATTTGTTAATCGATTATCGACCTTATTGCAACGCTATTAAATATCACAACAATTAATCAGTCGATTTCGGATGAAATAGTCGTATTTTTGTTATTTTTTTTTCAAAGTACCCTTATAAACCCAAAATTTTTTAATATTTTAATTTCTTCAGAAATCATAGGATGCCCTTGGTTTTATGTCTGACATTTCTCTAAAGTAATTTTGTAATATAGAAAAGCCATGGTTTTGCACCAATGGGAATAGGAATCTAGCTCCACTTACGACATATCGTAAGTCTTCACGCCTTCACTTCACATCATTTCACGCTCACGGCAAAATATGTTTTTCCGTTTTTCGAAGTTATCGGAGTCAGCAGCTGGAAGTTACAATACCTCAATCCTCAAATCTCCTATCCTCAAATTCTTAATAACTTACAAGGGTCCGACAACGCACTTGTACTTTTGATATTGCGAGTGTCCATCGGCGAAGTCTACCAATGCCTTAAAAAATAAATCGTTTTTCGAACTCATCCTTCTTTTTATGACCCAGGCTAACAACATTTACTCGCTGGATGAAGAAGACTTGCCTCCCGTGTCCTCCACAACGAATAGAAGAGGCGACAGGCAATGAGTTCTATACATTCTCCTTCTTCGAAGATATATTACGTGTAGCAGCCATCAATGATATCACACTACTGATTCAAGACACCATCTTTAGGCTCACTTCGGATATCTGCACTTACATTGTCAAGTATGTTTGTTGTCTATTTTATTTATTAATATGTTTAAACGATTACTCGCGGAAATATTTGACGAAGAACTCGACAAGTTTCAAAGTGCAATAGGGGCTCATATTCATGAGCAGTGTTGCGCGATATACAACGCGACGAACATTGCGTAGCTTACTAATAAAAATAAAAAAGTATGTGTGTAAGCCATGATATAGTAATTATATTTAATATAGGTAATTATATTATAACAAGTAAAAATAGATTATTTAGACACTGAGATTGTTTTAAACCTACTACAATTTTGGATTTAAAATACGTCGTTGCACAAAATATTTTCCAAGGTATACTGTCATACTATATTTCTAGGGAGATAAATGAAATGCAAACATCCAACAGCACGGTTATAATTTCGAATGCCTCATACAAACTTTTCTATCCTATTGCCTTAATACTATTTCTAACTATTATTTATATATTTTCTTAATACCTACATTACTACTTATTTATTTTAATAATGGCTACACTCATGTGATACGGGTTACAAATATTTATTAATTTTCTTTTCCCTGACCTCTGTACAAATGTGGGACATAACTCAAGTTACATTTTTATAGGTGGCAAAAATACTCCCATCTCTGGTCGTACGACAAGCATCTATCGTGCGAGAAATACGTACAGAAATACGACCAAATCTTCAAATATGATGAAAAATTCTTCTTTTTCGAAGATATTATAAATGACCTTGATGATCATGTGAAGTTTGTGGATATTGGAGCTATCAGGGTCAACTTGAGGCCCGTGATACAGCAAATACAGGACCATGCGCAAGAGTGGAAGAATATATTAGGTGATTGTATTGCATCGAATACTCGAGCCAGTATGTATGATTTGAAGACTCAAATTGAGGTAAGATATTATTATAACTAAGTGTCTGTCGAAATCATTAATTTTCGGGAAACTAGGTATCTGAAAAAAAATAGTAAATGTTATTTTTGACAAGTTTTAATAATTTAGGTAAGCCCCGATCCTTAATACTTAAAACAAAGTCCAGAATTTATGGTCATCATAACTAAACAGGTTTACAAAACTTCCTCAATTGGTTGATCTATACCTCGAATATGAATATCTAATTGCGAATTTAATAAAATATTGTAAAGGATTCTTTAGATACAAAACATAAGGGCTTTTTGCTTTGCTAAGCACTATTTTTTTTATTATAAAAACGTTGTTTCACACATTTTTCTCCTATGTTTAACCATACAAAATCACATAAACATTACATCCAGAATAATATAAAAAAATTTTGAGAAATAAATAAAAAAAACTGTTCTGTGTTGTTGTGTGTTGTCTGTTCTTCATTTCAAATTATTCAATTAAAAACTATAACAATCCTAATCTTCCTACAGCATCTTCGTATGACAGTGAATATGAACATCAAGGGTCTCGAAGACTTCAAGCTGGTGATGGCCACGATCACACAGGTGCAGCTGATGACCATCACTGCCGAGTGCAAGTACAAGAACATGCAGGAGATATTCTTTATGCTGAGGCAGCATAATATTAATGTACGTATGTCTCGAACAGTAATAATCCAGAAGACATTTTTTTATGATAAATAGGTTAACAAACAGACAGATCTTCTGATGGTAAGTGATCACCCGCAACTCTTAAAACAGTCACAGTCGCGTTGTTGGCCTTTCCTTCTAGAAAATGGAGTCCGCTCGTTTCTGTAATGATTGAAAGTGGTGTAGGTTCAGAAATGCCGCGCCGAAATGTCATCCCAAAGTTCATCCGTTTTTCGAAGTTCTGTGCGAGGCAGAAAGCTTAGAGTAAAGTTTATAGTACTCTTAAAAATACTTCAAAAATACTCGAGCTTACGGTGCGTCTCCCTCCGAGCACTTCTCTGGCTCTATAAGGCCCAGGAGGAGGTGGATTGGCGATTTCAAATTTATAAGTCTGGATTTCCTTATGATGCTTTACTTCGCCGTATTTCAGTGATGTTTTCATAAACTTAGCAACTACAACATATCTCGATAAAAGTCATATTAGTACTTGGCAGATTTCGAACCCATCACACATGAAAGGCGGGTCTCTTAATATCCGTGTCAACTACAAGTCGCAAACTGTTCAAGTAACTTTTTTCTACAGGTACCAGACGAAGATTTGACCTTCGCTAAAAACTTGGAAACAGCTTGGGGAAGTCTGTATCAAACGACCTTGTTCCGTGCATCGACTTTGGAGAAAACCAAAGAAAAGTTCTCGAAGATGAACGTGGAAGAGATAGCGAAATTCTTGAGAGAGCTCGATGAGTTTGTTGAGAAATTCGATGCTGTAGGTCCGGGTACCGTTGGAGATGATATGGACAAAGGCATCATGCTTGTTGAGGTGAGATATCTTGTTTCTGTGATTAGTTGATATATCTATACGAATATTATAAAGAGGTAAAAATTTTTAAGTTTGTATGAAGGGGCTAATCATTGGAACCACTGGTCGGATTCCCAAAATTCTTTCACTTAACATCACGCTACGATCATATGGAGCCGAGCAGCGAGTGAAACCGCGAGGGAGTAGCTAGCCGCTTAATAAAGACAGCAACTTTATTTTTGTGTTAAATACTTTATTATTATCCAATTATGGGCATCATATAATATAGCCAAATAATCGTAGATGCGTTATATAGTTACTGATCCCGTACTTCAAACTTGGATATCAAATATACTCAGACACTGTTCTACAACATCTGAATAACCACTATGTACTATAACATTTGGTATTTTTTTTTGTACTTTTTTTAAAAAAACGTTGCTTTTTAAATGATGATTTTCTCCTGTGTCGTGGGTGCGGTTACAAACATACAATTTCACATACACATGACACCCAGACCCGGAACAACAATTTGTGGATCACACAAAGAGTTGTTCCGTGCGGGAATCGAACCCGCGAACGTTGCACGGCAGCCATCGCACCAACCGTGCAGTCGAAACATTTCATAGTTAACTTTACAACTAAGGGTTACGAATGTAATTGAGACGATCACCTTCCTTACCTTTCTTCCACGCTTACAGGAATACAGCAAATACTTTGACGAATTTGACAATCGCAAAAAGAATTTGCAAGCGGCAGAACAACTCTTCGACAATCCATTGGCAGACTTCTCGAACTTCAACCGAGCGAGGACAGACTTCGGGTTTATGGAGCAAATATACAAGATATACAAGGCACAGAAATATGCTAGAGAAATATGGTCTAAGACTCTTTGGAGTAATTTGAACCCACAAGCCCTTGTTGATGGTATTGAGCAGTTTTTCAAGGAGTTCAGGTGAGGAAATGTTTATGTGTTCAGTATAACTGTTATAAGTAAGTGAAAATGTTGATTTTCGTGGTAACCTGTAGTTAAAGGCCACTTCTCATGCTCATGCATGGGGAGGTGATTTCGAAACCTGGCAAATACCAATGTGACTTTTTTCCGAATCATATGCCATTTCTTTGACATACGTCGAAGAAAAATATCTTGAGGAAACGTAGACTTAAATTTTCTAATTATAAGTTTGGAATCACCAATCCGTATTGAGCAAGCGTAGTGAGTAATGCTCAAACCTTATCCGCGTGAGAAGAGGCCTTTGCTCAGCAGTGGGCACTTATAGGCTGATGATGTGATGTTAAAATGTGTATTTAAGAGAAGGAGGATTTCATTATAAGATACATTATTTCATTTATAAGGATTCTCAATGCTAATGTTATCTTTAGAAAGCTGCCGAAGCCAGTTCGCCAGACCCCAAGTGGTCAGATGCTGGATCTGAAGATGAAGCAGTTCAAGGGCGTGGTTCCGCTCATGGTGTCGCTGAAGAACGAAGCCATGCGTGAAAGACATTGGAAGGAACTCATGCGAAAGACTGGTGAGTGACATATTTGGTGTTGAGAAAGATGGAAAATACGATTTGTATTGGAAAGTTAATATTTTTATATTACCTTATTTTAACACACTTTTTAGGTGACTCAGTACGTTCCGGGAATAATATTTTTTTGGAGGTTTAGAGAAAAATCATACTGCTTAATAATTATTTGTTGAATACTTAGTATTTTGTAAAAAAAACATTTTGCGACCCATATTTCATACTCCTAGTACAGCTTTATCCAAAGGTTGTCTGTAAGAGAACGCCTTGCGCAATAATACCGCCCAACGTTCGCTCAATGTTTTCCTATGTAACTACTTAGTGCACAATAAAGTACCTAAATTGGTTGAAGATAACTGAAACATTTTGTTATAAGATTCCACTTCACAAAGAAACATAGACACATATACATACTTACAAGTACGTGCAAGTTAAAAATCTAGTAGTGCAAGTTGTAAAAATACAACAACAACTTCTATGCTTTATATGAGAACAATTGATTTAATCGAATTCTTGTTTGTTATAATCTCCACTCATTTTGCTGATTAGGTTTAAAAGAATTCCATCTCTCTTTCCAGGTCAGGAGTTCGACATGTCCCCGGATCGTTTCACGTTGGAGAACATGTTCGCTATGGAACTGCATAAGTATCAAGACGTTGCCGAAGAGATAGTCAATCACGCCATCAAAGTAAGTCATGATAGTTTTATTTTTAGTAAACTTTGCTCGACTCTTGGAGTTTCTCGTGGGTGCATTTATAAACTTACAAAACCACATACACAAGCCCGCCGAATACCCGAAACAACAATTTGTAGATCACACAGCAGCCAGTTGTCCACCCACTGCGCCAACCGTGCAGTCAACAACTGCTTAAGCTGAAGTCTCCATTCCTATATTTGATTCCTGAACTTTATTTAACGCATAAATTAGTACGTCATTTTAACCTTTAAGTTTCTGAGTTCCTTCCAACCGGCGTCGGAAGTCGGAGCGGGTTCTCCGACTTCGCACGGGTGCACTGCTGATTCTAAATTCCTCTACTATTTAATGGATTTTATTATGCATATAAAACTTCCTCTTTTAAAGATTTAAAAATACATAATATAAAGGGTCAGTAAAAGCCACTTTGTTTTGTACTACTTGTAGGGAAATTATAAGCGAATCGGTTAATATTACAATATAATTATTATGCACGATAATCTTTTAGGAACTCGCAATAGAGCGCTGCGTAAAGGACGTACAAGACGCGTGGGCTAGCATAGCTTTCACGGTTACTCGTCACTTTAACCGCGGGGAAGATCGAGGCTACACGCTGAACCCGTGCGATGAGATCTCCGTCAAGCTGGATGATGATGCCATGACCTTACAGAGTATGGCCGCTTCACAGTAAGTGGTTGGTCTTTTAGAATGCAGTAGGTTCCTAGGTCAAATATAAATTAATTCAACGTTTCAATACAATTGAATATAGAAAAACTAGCTTTTGCCCGCTACTTCGTTCGCGTGGAATAGTGACTTCCTGCAGATTTTTTGTCCCTTCTCGTCTATCATATTGTCCTTCCTCGAGTTCCAAACTATGTCTGTACCAAATTTTACAGAAATCGGTTCAGTAGTTTAGGCGTAAAGAAAAGACAGACAGATAGAGTTACTTTCGCATATATAATATTAGTTTGGATAACTATAGGTACTTTTATTCATCGATCTATCGATACACTAAATTTTCGATATTTTTAAGAAATAAGTTCAATTACTTTTTAAGTAATAAGGCAGGATTGATTTTCTATAAAATAATAAAATAAAATATTTTATTTAGTATCTAAAACATCTACTACTATAGTTCGTTCCATAATTAGAGACAACAATTTGACAACAGCAAATGTCAAACTACAAAATAATGTGGCCAAAATTTTAACATAGTGATGGGCCCGAGTACGATGTTTTAAATAAAATACCAATACCGTTTTTTTATAAAATACCCTGAGCAAAATAAAACAACGTTGCGGTGACGTTTTATATAGTTTAGTCGAATTAATAATAATAATTTAAAATAAAAATGCGAAATCCAAGACTGGCTAAAAGAAAAACATTATATTTGAGGCACCTATGCTGAAAGCCGAGCTGTTGGAGATTTCCCGGAAATAGAAGAGTAAATTATGAATGATACGTCGTGGACTGATGGCTGCTAAAAGGGGGGTCACTATTTTACTTTTGCCTCCTTACCATTGTGATTTTAACCCGACTGAGTTAGTGTGGGCACAGGAAGGTACCAGGGAAAGTAGCTAAAAATGCACGAAGTCCAAATTTAATTTCGGTCTTTCGGTCAATACCGGTCGCGGGACTTCACTATTTATGAAATGGAAAAAATTTGCAACACTCGAAATGTCAAATCGTTGTCTCTAATTATGGAACGAACAATACCATGTATGTTATGCAGAGGTCTCTAGTATAGCCAATATACCACTACAGACGAGGCCCTAGGGCTGGTGTTCAGCCAAGGTTGCGGGGTAAGCGCAATGAGGCACCGCGGCCTCGGCCCAGAGCAGGAGAAGGAAAGGGGTTTTTAGTTAGTAAGAGTCTGACACTCCCTCCTCCTCCCTCAAGACGCCATTTTATGATTTTCCCCTCACAAAAAAGAGGTCTCCAGTATGCCAAGATACCCCTCTATTCGCATGAACTATAAATACATTATAATTTAATATTCTTCCAGATTTATTGGCCCTTTCCTCTCCGTGGTACATACATGGGAGCGACGCCTGTCCCTCATATCAGAAGTTATCGAAGAATGGATGGCCACACAACGCAAGTGGCTCTACCTCGAAGGGATCTTTGTGGGCGGTGATATACGCGTACAACTCCCTGATGAAGCTAAGAAATTTGATGATATTGATAGGTCATTTAGAAAGGTCAGTGCTTTAAAAAGTTGAAGTATTTTATACGTATAGTTTTCATCATGTCGATGCAAAGAGGTAAGTAAAATTGATTTAAGAACTCTAGAACCGGGATCCAAATGAATTCTAAGAAAATTTTATAAATATATGCATATGAATAGTCAATCATTAAACCCGCCACTACCTCCCAAAATTGCGGCAACTCCTGTAAGATAGAAGATATAACCATGAAAATAATGAAACACTGAAATCGTATCACAGATACATGAATGGTTGCAAACTTTTAGAAGTACAACAAACTAAACGATCAAACTGATCAATTAAATGTTATAATATGGTAGCATCCATTTATACCCGCAACAATAAAGTGGTTACAAGCGCATTGTTGGCCTTTTCAATATACCTAAATAGTCATAAAAAATTACCAAAAAGGATCAAGATGATTGATTGCGTATTGAACATTTTAGATCATGTTGGATACTGCGAAGCGGCTGAATGTGGTTGATTGCTGTACTATAACTGGCAGACTCGAGGAGTTCGTTAACCTGGGTATTGGCTTGCAGAAGTAAGTAATATGAGTATACATCTATTAATGTATTACATACATGATTTGTAAAGTCAATTTTTGTATTTTGACTTCCGCAAGACATAGTCAATTACTTGATTCGGAACTTGGAACAACTCTTTTTGTGATCCACAGATTATTGTTCCGGGTCTGGGTGTATTTGTATGTGAATTTGTATTTTAGTAAATGCACCCACAACTCAGGAGGACATCCTAGACTGCGGAAACGTTTAAAAAACTGTTTGACAAAGAAGTCTACTAGTTTTAAGACACTTTAGCACTTTAGCTAGTATGGCCATATATATGTGTAACGTAGCTTGAAACTAGTAGATTTCCTCGTCCAACAGTTATTAAAATAATAAATAAAGTTGTCTCTTTTTATACCAACTAGCTTTGATTTGAGTAAACTGTCTCTTTCTTCCATTCTTCCCCTTTATTTCACATCGCTCTCGTTACATTATCTATTTGTGCATATATATTTAAGTTACTTTCTTGGATTCTATTTTCATCTACATGTTATGAGATTTTTGTTCTTTTCCTCACACATATAATTTTTTTCAGGTGTCAAAAGTCACTGAACGAATACTTGGACTCCAAACGTCGTATATTTCCTCGATTCTTCTTTATATCGACGGATGAATTGCTGTCCATTCTTGGAAGCAGTGAGTGTAGCTGCGTACAGGAACATATGATAAAAGTAAGTTGTTTCTCAAGAGACGTGATGCTTCAATCGGGCACTGGATGCAAGTCGCTTCCAAAGGGCGATATATAGAAATTATTAGGCGAGGTTTATGTTCAGCAGTGGAAGTCTTGTGGCTGATAATAATGATGATGATGATGAAGTTCCTTGCAATCTTGACGCAGTGACTAGTAGATTGACTGCTAAGCAACGGGTCAGCAATGTATTGAAAGATAAATATTTGTTGTAATTTTAGTGTAGGGTTTATTTTCCCAAATATGTGGGACGCGAATAAATGCGTGATAAACCTTATTCTTATCTTGTGTGATCCACGTTTTGTTCTATCTGAAAATCCAATCATACCACTTAATACGAGTTATACTAATAAACGAGTGAAAACTTTCAGATGTTCGACAATATTCGTTCATTGGAGCTATACGTTGATCACACTAACCGTCCTGTGGCTTCGAAAATGATATCCGCTGAGGCTGAAGTAAGTCATATTTATTAATTCAAAAACTTTTTTAACTTTATGCCTAAATTATTCTCATAATAGTATCTATATAGTTTAGCTTTCCTTGATATTTTTATTACTATATGACCTTTTTAGCAAATTGCTTTTCATACCCCCAACGTTCCGTATTCAAAATAAAAAAAGGTTTCTAAGTTAAAGCAAAACCTTTTTCTATTTTCTAAGTTATTTTGAAAGAATCGTGTGTGGAATAGAAAATATTATAGTTGGTAATGTTGTTTTATTTTGCCCTACAAGGTAATGGATTTCCGTAAAGTGGTATACACTGAAGGACGCGTGGAGGACTGGATGAACCTGGTGTTGAGGGAGATGATGGATACCAATAAGTTCATAACCAAGAAGGCTATATTCTACTATGGTAGGAACTGGAAGGTTCCTAGGTAAGACGACTATTTTCTTATTAAGAGAATACTATGTATGTGAGTGTGCGTGTGTATACGTATGACAATATGCTTTAATGCGATTCTATCAAAAAGTATAATTTTCACCTGTGTATCTAGCAACGTATATTTCCATTTGTTTTAAATCTGCAATCTATCCTCCATTAGTGGGACCCATGAGTATAGCCACACAGACAACTCAACCTAAAGTCCACGCGTAAACAAACTTCAGTACGAAAAAAAAAATACTAAAAGGTAGCGGGTTGCGGGGAGAGGTAGTCTAGTTTAAGAACACATCAAAATTGACAATGTTGTTGTTTCGCTTTGATTCTCGGGAACGAGAAACAGATAGGGGCGTGGCCGGCTCTTATGCAGTATCACTGCCTAACCTTGGCGAATGCATATGCCTGGGAAAGCTTTAGGTTGAGTCATCTGTGGTATAGCCACCATGTGTATACTGGAATAGAATTCTGGAACGCAACCTAAGCGCTAACATGCAGATGCGCGGAAAAAATCAGGCCTCCTTGGTGTTACCTAAAGGGGGCGAACGCGGTGTACGCGGGGGCGGGTATTATAATACTTACAGTACTTTTGCTATATGTGAAACGATCACTCTCCCACTAAGATTCATACAGGCAACTATAAGAGACTAGGCTAGAGATCCAACTACGGCCAATTTCAACTATATTTGTTTTACGCTAGGACGGAATGGATCCTACAGTACCAAGGCATGGTCTGTCTCGCTGCAAACGGAGTGTGGTGGACTGCTGAAACCGAGGAGACCTTTATACGTATCCGAAAAGGAAACAAGAGGGCAATGAAGGAACATTTAGCGCAACAAAACGAACAACTCGATGGATTAGTCGTTAAAGTGAGACAGAGTGAGTTATATAGCAGTCCTTTTCTTTAAAAAGATTTAGCTGAAAATAACTTATTGTATCTACCCTTAAAGAAATGAGGCTTCTTGGATTATATACAAGGATACAAGTATCTATGATTTGACTTTTTAGAAGCGACATTTGACCCTTCAAGCTACGAGCATACTCCTTCTTAAAAGACTGGCTACACGCTTTTTAATTCCTTCGAATTTGCGGGCGCCCAGAGCAGCGCTGATCGCTTACTATATAAACCTTCTTCTTTTATCACTCTGTCTTTTAAAAACCGTTGCGTAATTTTAAAGATTTAAGCATACATAGGGATATAAGGACAGAAAAATCTACTTTCTTTTATACGTGTAGTAATGAGTGTCTTTTCTTCAGACCTATCATCAAACGATCGCCTCAAGTTCCGCACAATCACGACAATAGATGTACACGCGCGTGACATCATCGAAGGGTTTGTTCGTGACAACGTGACCGATGCCAGCGAGTTCGAATGGGAGAGCCAGCTGAGGTTCTATTGGCTAAAGAAGGAAGATAGCTTGAGGATTAGGCAGTGTACAGGTATGTTTAAAAATTGGTATTAAAAATTAAGGTACTTTAAGTTTTGAAGTCATGTGGTAAATTTAAGGCGGTGATTCTCCGAAAGACCTTTCCATTTTTATAATCGTTCACTTAGCATGTTTGTAACTTAATATCATCATATTTTTATTGGATCGCTTGCGAACAATAACACGGTTTATATTTACCATAATTTGTCTTTCAAATGACACATGTTTATATTAAGCTGAGGATCGACTTTAAAATTACGATTTCATTAAAATGTATGTTCATGGTTTGATTGTAGGAATCATTCATGCTTAGCACTGGATTTGTGAAAAAGCTGTTTGATAGTTTGCCGCATTTTGATCTTGTTAATCGTCGTCGATTAAACACTAAGTAAGAGATTTTGGGTTTACCTACCAGCTGGACAATTTTAAAAAATAAGTATGCTATTTAACGAGATCAAATATTACGTCATAACGTAAAGTCTAATACAAAATTTGTAGAAAAGGGTCAATTCTAAATTATTATTTTGGCAATTTAAAATGTTATCTAAAATCTCTATACTCAGAAGTTATCCTTGGACCTATTTTATAAACAAATTAATCAAAGTCTACATTATGTTTTGTATTTTGCAGGCGTCTTCGATTATGGTTACGAGTACATGGGTCTTAATGGTAGACTGGTGATCACGCCACTGACCGACCGAATCTACCTTACCATCACACAGGCCCTTACTATGCAACTAGGGGGAGCACCAGCAGGTACAACTTAAAATATAGAATACTTCTCTACATGTCTGCCATTTATGGCTTAGGCTTAATACAACAATAATAGGGACGTTTTTTCTATCTTTGAATATGTTAAATTTAAAATATTCACTAGGAATAATTTGGCGTGCGACGTTTTGCTCAACACGTGAAAGGTTGTAGCGTAGTTCTTATTTTGCTACGATTTGGACCGCAATATCTCAAGTACCGCAGCCTCGGCCTAAGGCAGGATAAAAAACGGGGCAATTTTTACTCAGTAAGTGAAGTGAGTGACATTCCCTCTCTTCACTCATCCTGGGCAAGAGAAGTCATTTCATATCCAAAAACAGTGATGATAAAGTAGGTATCATTAACATTACTCCGTGCGGATGCATGGTGCATCCGCACGGAGTAATCAATCAATGAAGGCGTTAATCTGGCCCGTGGTCGATATCAAATGCGAGACTAACTTACTATTTCGCGTTTTAGATATTACCAACAACCTTTTGCCGCGCAATACATGAAAACCTATTATCATATCTCTCTCTGTACTCTGTACCTAGGTCCCGCGGGTACAGGCAAGACAGAAACAACGAAAGACTTAGCAAAAGCACTAGGTCTGCTCTGCGTGGTGACCAATTGTGGTGAAGGCATGGACTTCCGCGCAGTAGGACAGATCCTGGCCGGCCTCTGCCAGTGTGGGGCCTGGGGATGCTTCGACGAGTTCAATAGAATTGATATTTCTGTACTCAGCGTCATCTCTACCCAGTTACAGTGTATTAGAAGCGCGCTCCTGATGAAGCTGAAGAGGTTTACTGTGAGTGTTTAAAATTATTTCTATATGGGTAATACGAGAATACGCATATACGAGAATTTTCTGAACTGTTCGCCAAAAACGAGCGAGCGCTCTGTAGCGCCAGGTCCAACCACCTGTCAGAACACACGTTTTACTTTTGTTGGATTTGTCATTTTCTTCAAGGTTAACGTGCAAATAAACACTAAAGCACTCTTTTTGAGCTCAAATATCAGTAGGGCAACCTTACTTTATCCATAATCCATAATAACTCATAAAAGATTTCAACATTTCATTAAAAAAATATGTGTTCGGTTAGAACCTGTGCTATCTGATAGCTGTTTTGCCCTGATGCTCGTATGCATCGAAAATCCTTTTCGTATTCTGTCAAACTGTGATTTTTTTCTGCTCGCATATTTCCTAGTTATTACACTAAATTAAACCTATGTTTATAGGAAATTAGTGACAAAAATCCTTATCTTTAGAAATCAACATAAACACGTGAATCTTAAAATACTTATTTAATTTAATTTTCCTCCATAGTTTGAAGGTCAAGAAATAGTGATGGACAATAAAGTAGGTATCTTCATCACCATGAACCCTGGGTACGCTGGCCGTACGGAGCTACCAGAATCTGTGAAGGCGTTGTTCAGGCCTGTGGTCTGCATCCTGCCTGACCTTGAGCTCATCTGCCAAATCTCCCTGTTCTCTGATGGATTTCTTACTGCTAAGGTAAGGTTTCACTTCATGGATCTTGTTCAGCGGGAAGTTAGATCGGTTTTCTTGTTCTACGGTGCCTTTTAAATTTGGAGCCAAACATTTTCACAACACAAGGAGTCCTAGTGTGAGTTTCACGAATCAAGCATTGTTTGTAATTTATAAGCAATAAAATTATTCTTTTAAATTAGAAACATTGCTGTTTTTTCTTATTTTAACGCGAAACAAATGTTATCATTAACTTCTATTTCATAGACTAAACATATACATTCGTCTGATAAAAAAAGGTCTGCTGCAGTGCCGTGTATACATAACATAGTGGTTAATTTAATTTATTTTTGTTGAAAATGATCCAAACATACGTGAAAATTGGAACAAAACCTCTTAAACTAATATCAAGCTAATCAAGCCAATGTCCAGCCGGAGTTGTGGGTAAATAATGGATTAAGGTGGTTCTGAGCAAAAGCCTGACCCTCCAGTACTCTACAAACAAAAAGACACCCTCTATTAAACACTTAAAAGTCTATAAACCCCTACAGGTATTAGCTAAGAAGATGACCATGCTGTACCACGTAGCTCAGCAGCAACTATCGAAGCAGTCTCACTACGACTGGGGACTGCGCGCCCTCACCGCAGTACTGCGCATGGCGGGGAAACTGCGCAGGGACTCGCCCGGCCTTAGTGAAATCATGGTGCTCATGCGGGCACTTAGGTAAATAAAGAATAAACGTTCTTTTTATATAAAAATTTAGAGACTAATCACAGAGTAAGATACTAGATATAGATATTCATAATGATTGCACGGTTGGCGCAGTGGCTGGGCAAAACTGGCTGCCAGCAATGTGTTGCGGTTTTCATTCCCGCACGAAAAAAATCTTGATATTTCAAGCACACATTGACGTTATGGGTCAAATTGTGTGATGTGTGTGTGAAATCGTATGTTGTAAACGTACACACGACCCAGGAGAAAAGCCAAGTGTTTGACAATAACAGTGTTATCGCTTAAAGCGTTATCTACCGGGCAACCTTTGAGTAAATGGCAGGCAAATTTGAGTGTTTTAAATTTAAAAGGAATAAAACAGTATTACACTTTTTTGTTTTTGTATTATTAGTACATCAATTTGTGATTATACAGGGTGTAGACCACACAACATATACATATGTATTTGCTACTTTTGAATAGAACCCAAAATAATAACGACTATCGTGTAATGTTTTCAGATGGCGTTAATGTAGTTTAGGTTCTTTTTATTCAATAAAGCATAAGCTAGTATCGTCCTATTGGACATTCGATTCCTGATACTTAATTAGGGAATAGATCCCTTAGATAGGTAAAAGGAGGATAGTCCAACCAGGTGCTGGAGGATCCTCTTAAATAATACCTGGTGGTCCTCTGCTCAACATTTGGATCAGGATGTTCTATGCGTGTTACCTTATTTTCCCGCAAACTTACACGAACACGATATAGGTTAGGATTTGTGACGTTTTTAAGTAATCTTGTACATCAGCACGCAAGCGTTGTTTACAAAAATACCATTACAAAACATACTATAATTGATTCCATTATTTTCTTCTTAGGGACATGAATCATCCGAAGTTCGTGTTTGAAGATGTGCCATTGTTCTTGGGTCTGATCAAGGATCTTTTCCCTGGGTTAGAGTGTCCACGTGTGGGCTACCCAGACTTCAACGCCGCAGTCATTGAAATATTGGAGAAAGATGGTTATATCGTGCTGCCTCACCAGGTTAGTAAAAGGTTTTTGTTTGGAATCTCGAGAAAGGTTGATTATTGTTACCTGTGCAAGAATAATGTACTGCTGGCCCCGTCCTGCAGGAGAAGGAACGAGGTAAGAAGACATTGGATACTTATATAAACAGATAAAAGGCTTTTTAATTTTAAATAATTCTACAAAATTACAGCATATAGTCTAGGCCTGTGTCTCATGTTTGTCCCTGTCGCGTCTTTTTATACCAGAGACTTAATCTGATTCTTAAAGAAAACATAATAGTTATTTATAAAAATACTTTTATAAGCACGACCTTCATACAAGAGCTATATTAATACCCACCACATAAAATAAAATAAGGCTGACAACACTCTACTTTACATCAATAATACGGTAGTTTCCAATTACTGTGCTAACTGTACTTTTCTATGGAATTTGTAGGAACCTCCAAATTATTACGTCATAATATTTTGGGTTCAAAATGCGTTCTAATAAGTATCTTAAAAATTTGCTAATAAATATCTAAAATATTGTGTATCGACAGATCGATGAATAAAAGTATAGGTATTTTTATACAATTTTATTGTATTGAAACGTCGAATTAATTTATTTTTGTCCTAGGAATCTTATTTTCTCTGTAATGTTTTTAATTTAATTATGATGTATTTTCTCTCAGGTTGACAAAGTAGTACAGTTGTATGAGACTATGATGACACGCCACTGCACGATGCTGGTCGGACCCACAGGCGGTGGCAAAACCGTCATTATACAGACTATCGTTAAGGCACAGACTCTATTGGGGCTGCCCACTAAACTAACTGTACTCAACCCTAAGGTAAGACAATGATTATCATTAATAAAACGCTTTGCTCGCAACCTCGTATGTTTTCATTTTTTTGAGATAGGGTGGCAAACGTACTCTTTTCAGGGGCAACCTTTAGCTATTTTCGTTATTTTTTAATGTAATTATATTGTGTTTTTCATCAAAAGTAATCAACAATGTTGGTTTACTTAGAAAGTCAACTTTTACTATCCAATAAACAAACAAGTTGAACAATCTCTTATCTACTCCTGTGCGGCCAAAATTCGAAGCTGTTTGGTTTTACCACCACACAGTGCTAACATATTTGTCTTTTCTGACGCTACGCGATCAATGATAAAGTCTAATAATTCGAATCAGATTTGAATCGACCGTGGAAATGTATTTTTTGCCAGAAAAAAAATATAAAAACGTAGATAAATTAGTCAATATTTTCTATTACAGGCTTGCTCGGTTATAGAGCTCTATGGAATTTTGGATCCTGTTACCAGAGACTGGACTGACGGTTTATATTCAAGAATATTCCGAGAAATGAATAGGTAATTATAATACACATACAGAGACACTAAAAAAAAACAACAAAACCTAGAACAGTAAAAGTGGAACACCATGAGTTGTTCTCGCTACATCCACTACACTAGCCGTGCAATATGTCACACTCACTCATCATATAGCTTTTTTTATTTATTACTAGCTACTCCCGGTTTCACCCGCTGTTCTGCACCTCGTGCACTAACAAACACAAGAATTGTTCACTTCGAATCAGTAGTGTCGGAGATTAGCGCGTTCAAACAAAGGAACAAACTCTACAGATTTATTATATTAGTACCTATCGACAATTACATAAACTTTTTTATAAACTATATCCTGTATCTTAGCCCCTAAAAACCATTTTATTCACCTACCAGGCCAGCAGACAGAGAGGAACGCCGCTACACTTTATTTGACGGTGACGTGGACGCCCTCTGGATTGAGAACATGAACTCTGTAATGGATGACAATAAGCTGCTGACCTTGGCCAATGGAGAGAGGATCCGGTTGGCCCCATACTGCTCTTTACTCTTTGAAGTTGGAGATCTGAACTATGCGTCCCCGGCCACGGTGTCTAGAGCCGGCATGGTGTTTGTTGATCCTAAGAATTTGGGATACCAGCCCTACTGGGATAGGTTAGTGTGTATAAAATTTACTTTTATTAATAAGTCTAGTAATTACATATACATATGTACTTACCTAGGGAGCATAATTAAGAACAACGAGTACCAAATCCTAGTGCCTTACTTTTCTTTTCATACATCGAAGGCGATTTAAGGGTGTTAAGATTTTGTACTACAGCTTATTTTGTAGAACCAGGTTTCTATCTGTAAGAACGCGCTCAACTAAAATGGTCACATGACCTCATAAAACATTTGTAAGTGAGATTGCCGTGTGTCTCTATTCCTCCCCCTGCCTCCATTGCGAATCCACACATCCACAATCTTCAATTCTGTCAACGCAGTTGTACGATGTCCTTACATAAATAAATAGATAAGTAATAAAAATATGTCGTAAAAATAACTACTAAAAATAATTGACATACAGATGGCTCCGCGGACGCAACAACGAGGAGGAACGCGAGCAGTTGGACGGTTTGTTTGACCATTACGTCGCGGGTGCCATCAACTACATCATCTTCGGCATGTTCGGCCTGCAGCAACAAACCCCTCTCAAGACCATTGTCCCGCAGACTCCGCTTAACCTGGTCAGTATCAGCTTATTTGAATTATAAATTTAAGTATGCAGAAGAAAAGAGAAAAAAGAATTTTGGTTGTGATAGGTTAAATAATAAAGTTAATAATAATAACAGTGATGTCACATCACATTTAGATTAAAACTGTTTAACTGGCCTCTGCGAGATGGCTTCGGCTCCTCGTACGCCTTTCAAAAAGTCCGATCCTGTGGCCCCTTGAAAAGAAAGAAGAAAAAATTATCAGTAAAAATGCTCCTATCTCCTGTGTACGAGCTACGCTGTACATTGACCTCTTAGTGTTCCAGTCAGTCATATTGCGAATGTTGTAATATGTATTATATCATGATCAGCATTTGTAAACACAATTATTTAGTAGCAATAAAAATATCCATTGATTGGTCGTCTACTCGTTTAACAGAAACACACAATCAACATACTAACATCATTGTAGGGCCTTACAACCCCTACATCCTGATTTAAGGATAATGAATAAAATGGCTAATGTAAGAAAGTAACGCGTGCGTTTGAAAACGAGTCGATCACATGTAATAATGGTCACTTACTAAGTTACTACTAATGTTATAAACGGAATATTTTGAAAGTGCCATCCACAATGGTAGAATGTTTTTTACTCTTTCGCGGAAAAACTACTGGACTGCATTTAAATGAAATTTAGCGTAGAGATATATTCTAGTCGGGAATAACGCGTAGGCTACCTTTTATACAAGGGTTTACCCTGTAAATACTGATATAAAAAAAAGTATCGCTATCCTTAGTTTTTCTTCTATATCTATACTAATACTACAGACCCAGCCACGCGTTGCTGTGGATAATGTTTTTGTCAAAATAATATTGTGACTATAAATTAAGATGTAAGCTATTCTATGTTACAAGTTGAATCAAAATGCACACTGAATGCAAAACAAATTTTAAAATCTGTTTAGTAGTTTAGGAGTCCATCGCGGACAAACACGTGACACGAAATTTTTATAGGTATATAAAGATTATGAAGAGGTAAACTTTGTAAGTTTGTATATAGGGCATAGTCTTTGGAACCACTGATCGGATTCCCAAAATTCTTTTACTTATTGATAGCTACAATGTTTCCGAGTGCTATATCCTATAAAACATCACGCTGCAATCAAATGGAGCCGAGCAGCGAATGAAACCGCGCGGGAATAGCTAGTGTTGCATAACTGTTACTAACATCTAAAATTGAGCTGGAGATAAAGAATTAATCTGCCAGCCTCTCACGACGACTATTCTTTTATGCAAACTCAACTGACTGTTGTTAAATACATACAGGTGATGCAATTATGCTACATGATAAGCGGCCTGCTACCTAACAGACAGGACTCCAACGAAGAGATCGATAGATCAGTCGTCGAATGCGTGTTCATGGTGGTAAGTTTTAGCATGATCGTCAAAGATGTAGGTAGAAATGCATGCAGTATTTAAGTGTAGGAGAGCCAATCTTTGGTACGAATCTATCTATCTTTCTATCTTTATCTATTTATAAAACGTTGCCCCACATTAGGAGTTTTTCCTGTGTCGTGGTTGCGGTTACAAACATACACCCAGACCCGAAACAACAATTTGTGGATCACACAAAGAGTTGTTCCGTGCGGGAATCGAACCCGCGACAATTTGCACGACAGCCAGTTGCCCGGCCACCGCACTAACCGTGCAGTCAAAATGAATGGCTCCGCTCAACCTGAATGATAACACAGCCTTAAAGAAAACCGACGTTAAACCACTTACATTGCTAACGTTTTCACGCCGTGTGAGTGAGATTACCGAAATACCAATAATTCCCACCCATCTCTCCCAAATCCCAAAATCTCCAAAACTGGTTACTTAAAGATTGACTGAAATACCTAATTGTTCTTGACTTTGACTTTTTTGACACTAGATAAATGGTCTACTATCAGATAATTTAGAGCACATGTTTTATTTCATAAGATTTTCAAGGTAATTCGTAATCGTATCAATAGTACGTGCTCATAGTATATTTGAATTATTATTTTTATTGTTTCTTTCTGACTCGGTCGCGGATTTCGAAGAGTGAATGTGTCGGGGGCGTAGCTCAGATGGTAGAGCGCTCGCTTAGCATGCGAGAGGTACCGGGATCGATACCCGGCGCCTCCAAATATTATTTTACATTTTTGCTCTCAAGGCAAAGTGAATGTCTTTTTATTAAGAAATTGTTAAGTGCACAATAAATGGTTTGTTTTGCTGACTGTACACATGGGGGGCGTAGCTCAGATGGTAGAGCGCTCGCTTAGCATGCGAGAGGTACCGGGATCGATACCCGGCGCCTCCAAATATTATTTTACATTTTTGCTCTCAAGGCAAAGTGAATGTCTTTTTATTAAGAAATTGTTAAGTGCACAATAAATGGTTTGTTTTGCTGACTGTACACATCGGGGGCGTAGCTCAGATGGTAGAGCGCTCGCTTAGCATGCGAGAGGTACCGGGATCGATACCCGGCGCCTCCAAATATTGTTTTATATTTTTTGTCAAGGCAAAGTGAATGTCTTTTTATTAAGAAATTGTTAAGTGCACAATAAATGGTTTGTTTTGCTGACTGTACACATGGGGGGCGTAGCTCAGATGGTAGAGCGCTCGCTTAGCATGCGAGAGGTACCGGGATCGATACCCGGCGCCTCCAACCTTTTTATTTTTATTAATCTTAAACACTGCAAAAAACACAAATTTAAAACTAAGTCTGGACACATCAATTGATTTAATATGTGTTTATCAGTTTGCTGTCACTTAATTTTGTGGAAAATAAGGTAGAAAGTTGGGAACTCTCCCGACTTCCTTCCGACTGAATCCGTTATAGCGTAAGAATAAGGCGCTTGTGGCGCAAGTTAGAAATAAGGAACTAAAGAAAATAGGGCCTTTTGGTCAATTATGTATTAGCTATATCTGTCAAACCACTGGAGGCACATTTGAGGACTAGATACGTCTGGACAAATAGGACCGACCTCAAGCTAAAATATATAAGCTATAATTATGTTTTTACATAAGTAAAAAAATAATTAGCATGGCATTCTGATAGAGAAAATCATAAGAATATAAGAATAAGAATAAATTGAATATTAGATGTCTATTTTTTCCGTACACCAAAAATAATAGGTTGATAGAATAAAGTTTACTAGTGGGTAGTCCCTACATTACCGCTCCTCAGTAAAAATCTACGAAATCGTGACTTCCCATGATATTTCAAATCAATACAACGTACAAAGTATTTGATTCTGTGAGAAAAGCAAAGTACCTATCAAATTTTTTAATCTACTTAGTAATATTACTACTAATAGTACTTACTAATATTAACATCTTCATCACTTTCGCTAAGTGCGAAAGTTACGATGTTTGGATGTTTATTACTCAATCACGCCGAAACGGCTGGACGGATCTGCATGAAATTTGCATGAATACATTGTTGAATAGGACATAGGCTACTTTTTATCGACATACCACGCGGGCGAAAGCTAGTGTAACTATCGTGAGAAATACTAAATTTATTAAAAATAACGACTTATGGGTAATTTTTAATGGTTAGCTAAAAGTTATCTTTTGTTTATGTGATAATTAGGCAAACGAGCAGACTGATAACCTGGACACCCGCAACAGAGGAGTTACGAGTGGTTGTTTCACGCCGGTTTTCTTTGAGGCTATTCGTGACGAAGCATAGCTCTCGCACACTTTATCTGGGGAATAATTATGATGCTGTCGCGTCAGAATGTTTGTATAAGACAGTGACAATTTTATTCTTTAGGTAACATTTATCTGACTATTGAAAAATCAGCTCTAACTCTCATTAAAATAAAATTAACTGATATGATATAAATGGAATTAACTGATAAACGTTCTACTAGTTTCGAGTCACAACGGGACTCTTATTCTATGTCATTTTGGTCACCACTTCACTCGTTGACACTTGAAACTAGTAAAGTTAATTCACATGATCAATTCGTTATCCAAACTAATATTGTAAATGCGAAAGTAACCCTGTCTGTCTGTCTGTCTGTCTACTCTTCATGCCTAAACAACTGAACTTTATGTGAAATTTGGTACAGACATAGTTTGGAATTCGAGAAAGGACATAGGATAGTTTTTACTGCAGGAAGTCACTATTCCACTCGAACAAAGACGCGGGCAAAAGCTAGTTTCAATAAATTAACCTGTCTATTGTTTTAAATCAATTTAAAAGACGAACAATACTTGTAAACTTAAAATTACTGATCATCATCATCATCATCCCTATTCAACCCTTGTTTTACAGAGTTTCTTTATGAACATTTAATTAGCTTGGCCTATGTATAATTATTTTTTATTGTTTCAGTCAATGTACAACAGTCTTGGCGCCGCTATAATAGACGATGGCCGATTCGATTTCGACACGTACATCAAGAAAGCGTGCCCAATGATGCTTGTAGAAGACACTAACGAGAAAAAAGCTACGACAAGTAATAAACATTATATTTCATTTCATTTGTTAGGGAAGAATATTTAATATTTGGAGAGATTGGTTAAAAATCTATGCAAAAAGCCAACGTCACGCGGTGTTCCCAGGCGGTCACCCATCCAAGTACTGACCGCGCCCGATGTTGCTTAACTTCGGTGATCGGACGAGAACCGGTGCTTTCAACATGGTATGGACGTTGACAACTATTGGGGCTTAAATTGGCAACAGAAGGAAAACGAAACTCTCTTAATCATAGTATTTACCTATATTTCAAATGTACCGTTCCACGGTAAAATAGATTAAATATTCGCTTTATCTGCTCACAATATTGCAGTAAACCGTGCGTATGCAGGGGTGCCCACTGAAAATCAGTGCTGGGCGACTTGTATGCCTAGCTTACACTGAGTGGGTAACCCATTTAGCATGGGCATGTTATAGCGTCTATTGCATCTGTTTTAATCTTTAACTCATGTTTATCTTACTTTTACTGTCACTCTTTTATTGTTCTTTTTATATGCTGTATCGTGCCTGGTGCTGAATGAATGTCTTTTGTTTCTTTCTTTCTTAATCAATTATAGGATGATAACATCATTCGAAACAAAAGAAGAATGAAAAATAAAAAAAATAAGATTTTCTTCACATTTACATTTACATCCCTCACAAATAATTTTCTGCTGTACTATTTACAGAACACTTCCCAATGGGATTTCCATCTCTATACGATTATTGCCTCGAACTTTCTACCAAGACCTGGGAAGCGTGGGAGTGGCTCGTACCAGAATATATCCACAACAGGGATATGAAGTTCCCGTCTATACTGGTGCCAACTGTAGACACCTTGCGACTGACCTGGCTCATCAAGATCATGGAGAGCGTAAGTTTTTAAATGTACCTTATGTAGTAGATGTTTAGGTCTATTTTCCTATGCGAGGTGAAAGCGGTAGGTAACTTGGTACTTAAAGCATGTCCACGATAGATATATGAAGTTCCTATCTATGCTAGTACCAATTGTAGACACCTTGCGACTCACCTGGCTCATCAAAATCATGGAGAGCGTGAGTTTCTAAATGTACCTTATGTAGTAGATGTTTAGGTCTATTTTCCTATGCGAGATGAAAATGGCCTTTACTTAAAGCATGTCCACAATAGATATATGAAGTTCCTATTTATACTGGTGGCCACTATGGACACCTTGCGACTGACCTGGGTAAATAAAATCATGAAATGAGTTTCTAAATGTACCTTATTTACTAAATAAGGTACATTTAGAAACTCACACTGTATTAAGGTATTTTTTTTGCTGTTACCAGAGAATTTGCACAATGGAAAGGTATGGTTCCCACATATATTGATAGCCTGTAGACACCTTACGAATGACCTGGCTCTTGGAGGGCGTAAGTTATTAAGTGAACCATATTATTAATGAAGGTCTATTTCAGTGTTAAAGTTTATGCATATAAAAGTTAAAATGCCAAAACATCTTTTTGTTTTGCGGGAATGAGTGTCAGAATAAAACTGACCAACAACTTCACCCTGTTAAATAGAACTTCCTAATTTCTGCCAGCGGCTTCGATCGTAGTTCTAGGTCTATCTAATAAAATCTAACTCTCAGTACTTAATATCATGTACTTAAGTAGTGTTTAACAAATGCGAAATGATTATCTTTAATCTACATTATATTATCATCGATAGGTTGAGCGACCTGTCTTAATGGTTGGTGAAACGGGGACATCGAAAACAGCTATCGTCACCAACTTCCTTCGAGGCTTACCACCTGAGAAATATGTAAGTACTTGGACAATATTATTTTTGGGTGTTTTTTTTTGTGAGGGGAAATCATCAAATGACTTCTCCCGCCCAGAAAGGGGCGGGAGGGAGTGTCAGACTCTTACTGACTAAAAACGCCCCTGTTCCTACTCCTGCTCTAGGCCGAGTTCGCGGTGCCTCATTGCGCTTACCCCGCAATCCCGGCTGAACATCAGCCCTAAAGGGCCTCGTCTGTGGTGGTCTAATGGCTCTTTGAGGCGCGCGCGGAACACTACGCGCCGTACGATCGGGTCTGGTTCTGGTCGGGCGGCGAGCTACCCTTACTCGCCAAGGGCAGACCCGCGCTTACGGTGGCCGGAGATCATCTCTCGGTCCCCGACGCTCGGAATGTCGCCTTCTGCGGCGTCTGGGGCGCGAGGAGGATAGTTCCCTCGCGCGCTCCGCCTCCTCCTTTGCGAGCATAACTGCTTCGCAGAAGGAGGAGATAGCTTCCCAGTTCCTCTCGCTATAAACCATGGCCTCAATTAAGGCCGGGCGCGAGAGGTCGCCGCCGCCGATCACTTCCCTGAGGACACGGCGGTGCTCAGCCCAGGCAAGGCATACTGCCACCGTATGCTCTACCGTGTCCTCTAGGTGGTACTCACAAATTATTTTTGGGTGTTGTGCTTAAATTCGGCATAGTAACCGTCAACGTCCATACCATGTTGAAAGCACCGGTTCTCGTCCGATCACCGAAGTTAAGCAACATCGGGCGCGGTTAGTACTTGGATGGGGGGTGACCGCCTGGGAATACCGCGTGACGTTAACTTTTTGCTTTTTTTTACAAATACGTATACCTAAGTTAATTATTTAAAATAAAGTTCATGTATTTTAAACTTTTTTTGCAACACTAAGTTATTGATTTTGTTTATGCCGCGAGACAGTTCGTGTTTTACTATGCGCAAACTAATCACGCAAGCCAATCATGTACCTCAGCTGTGCCACAGTATATATAAATACTTTCGCTGTGTCTAATGTTTGTGTAATGAAATGCATTAAGAACTTCACGCATAAATACGCGTTCGATATTCAATTTCAAGTGAATTAAATCAAATAAGCACATTTTTAAAGAGGGGTAACAAAACGCGGCGCCTTAAAATGACTGAAGAGGCAATATAATATTAAAATTGGTCAAAGGGCTTCTGCGAATTCGCTTCGTCCCCTCGTACGCCTTCCTGAATTATTTCCATATACCTACCTATTTTTCATTAATTTGATTATATTAATATTTTTCACCAAAATTGGTATGAACAAGATAATGACTGCACGATTGGTATGGTGGCTGGGCAACTGGCTGCCGTGCAACGTGTCGCGGGTTCGATTCCCGTACGGCACAACTCTTCGTGTGATCCACAAATTGTTGTTCTGGGTCTGGGTGTAATGTGCATGTGAAATTGTATGTTTGTACACGACGAACGACACACGAGAATTCCTACGATGAGGCAACGTTTTTTTTTAAAAAAAAAATTGTTAATTTCATATTTTAAAGGGCATTATTCCTAAAACCGTCCTAATTCTATGATATCTATCTATAAACACCAATAACTATCCTGAAACGGGAATCATGATCTCCTTTACATAAATGCTACCTTTCGACCTACAAGGCAGAAAATGCAGCAATCAAAAGAACAGACAACTAAGTATGTACATAAGCGATTTAAATTAATGATCCGTAAATCTAATTACAGTTTTGAATATAGAAGAAAATTTGTATGAAGTATTTTTTAGATTTTATTATGGTTTAGCTAATTAAAGGCTAACAAGAATAATAAATAAATAATCTATCCTTTCATGTGGTGCCGTGAAAGGATAGAATAAATAATAAATAAACTTTATTGTACACCAAAAGAGTTGACATGCCTAGTACAAAATGAGTGAATCCAAAGTACTGGGTACAAAGGCGGCCTTATCGCTAAAAACGATCTCTACCAGGCAACCTTTAGGTGGACGGAGTATTGTAGTAGTGGGTGGCAGTCTAGGTGTAACAAACAATCTTGGTATATCTTTATATGTATTATTATTATATAAAATAGGTCGTATAAAATAGATAGAAAGATAATTTAAATTTTGTTTATTAGGTAACGTCGATTTAAACATTTTTACATGGTAATTTTTAAGACAACTTTTATATAAAAAGTCAGATTTGTAGATTGTTTTTCTTTAGTTACTATAGTTTAGGGATGTTATAGATATGAAATATCGGTTACGGAAATAGGAATGATTATCTATCCTATTGGATACAGATATGAAATTATTTCGGATCCGTTAGCTTTGGATAAATTATTCGGGTATGGATAAAAAGTAAAATACAAGAATAACGTGTCTCAGTTAGGCTCCGCCCCAATCCGATATTATCCGATATTTCGGATTCGGTTACAGTTAAGGATATTTTTCGGTTAGGTTACGGAATTCCCTAACATCCCTGCCATAGTTAGAAAGAAAGAAAGAAAGAAAGAAAGAAAATATTTATTTGTGAGAATGTAGTACAAATATAGGTGTTTGTGTTATGTGTATGGAATCTCACACATTCTACCGAATTGGTGTACAAATTATTTAGCTTAATATCTAGTTATAACTATGAACTACTTATTCTAAGTCTATGATAGGTCATCTAAATAATCTTTAGTGGAATAATAACATTTATTTAGCAAAATCTCAAACAATTTTCTTTTAAAAGATATTAGGTTAAGATTTTTTAGGTCATTTGGAAGTTTATTGTAAATTTTGATAGCCATGCAATATGAGTTTCTGCTATATAATGTTGTGCGTTGGCTCGGTACAAATAATTTATTAGGGTATCTACTATTTCTACTAGTAACACATTTTTTCTTAATAAAGAGATCCGGGTTTTTGTATACAAAAATAGAAATTTCGTAAATATACAAACAGGGCAAAGGCAGGATACAATATTTTTTAAATAAAGGTAAGCAGCTGTCTAAGTAGTCTGCACCACATAATGCACGTAGACATCTTTTTTGTGCTCTAAATGCTCGGATTAGATCCACAGAGTTCCCCCATATTACCACTCCGTAGCGTAGAACTGAGGATACATAGCCGTGGTACGCACATAGTGTAGCATTGGGAGTCGCTACTTGTCTAAGTCTGTTCAAAACATAAACGATAATAGATAAGATTTGTTCTAGACTGGATAGTTAATCCAGTCTAGAACAAATCTTATCTATATGTAGTTTCCAACTGCAGTGTTTGTCAATAGTTAGACCGAGGAATTTAGTTGAATCTACTTTTTCTATGGCTTTGCCTTTTTGAGTGATATTAAGAGAAATTTGGGTGCTGTTATGTGTTTGGAATTGAATTATATTTGTTTTATTTACATTTAAGTTTAAGTTGTTATTATTTAGCCATGTAGTTACGTTATCTATAGTGTTATTAATTTCTGTTTCGTACGTATTTTTGTTGTGAGAGTGTATCAGTAATGTGGTGTCATCCGCATATAAGATGCATTTGTAATTAGTTGAATCTGGTAAGTCGTTAATATAGACTAAGAACAATAGCGGCCCGAGAATACTACCTTGAGGTACGCCGTGTAAATTTAAGATGTAATCAGAACGGTAAGATGATTTGTGGTAACCGGATACACTTGGAATTTCAACACACTGGTAGCGATCAGAGAGGTAACTCTCTATCCAGTTGAGGGCATTGCCTCTTATGCCGTATCTATCCAGCTTATTTAAGAGTATCCTGTGTGATACAAAGTCAAATGCTTTGGACATATCTAGAAAAATTGCAGCAATTGGATTTTTTTTATCTAGATACTCCGTTATTATTTTTATAAGATTGAAGCAGGCTAAAGTAGTAGAATAGTTTTTTCTGAAACCAAATTGTTCTGGTTTCAGTATATTATGTTTCAAAAAGAAGCTATATAAAATACTGTGAAACGATTTTTCTAATATTTTTGATATAATGGGAATTAAAGTTATTGGGCGGTAGTTGCCCATTTCGGTTCTTACGCCCTTTTTGAAAATAGGTTTTACTATAGAATATTTTAATCGTGATGGAAATTTACCATTAAAGTAGGATAAATTTATTATGTGGCTTATTGGACCTGATAAGCTTTTTGCACACTTTTTTTATTATTTTAGTGTCAATGTTATCGTACCCCGTAGAGTTGGTGTTTTTGAGTGAATTTATAATTTTACGTACCTCTAGATCGTCAACTGGCTTTAGGAAAATAGTGTTTGGATTATTCGGTATATTTTTGAGAAATTTGTTATTAATGGCAGTAGTATTGGGACGTTTTGTTAAATTAATGAAGTAGTTGTTAAAACCGTTAGCTATATCTTCAGGTTTATACCAATCTATATTGTTATTTTTTATGTGTTTTATATCTGTAGTATTAGTATCACTATTAGAATTGGTTTTTATTATTTTCCAAGCCGCTCTACAAGTATTGTTAGATTTAAGTATGTATTTAGTATTTTGTATTTTATGAGCTTTAAGAGCGCATTTTTTTAAAGTTGTTTTATAGACATTGTACTGCTTGAGATGAGAATGTTTGTTTTCTGATGAATTAAGATATTTTAAATAGAGCATTCTTTTAGTTTGACACGATTTTCTTAGACCCTTAGTCATCCATTTATTTTTTATGGGTTTATTGACTATTTTGACATTTACAATAGGGAAACATAGGTTGTAGAACAGTGTTATATTATCATGTAGAAGATTGAATGCTTCATCCACATCCATACACTCATGAACATCGTTGAATGATAGGGCTTCCATGCAAGATATAAATTTTTTTGTGTTATCTTTGCTAAAGTCCCTGCGCTTTTCAAACCAAAACCGCTTAACCGCGTTCCCTTCGTTGCTACGATTAGTGATTTGAAATGAGATTGTTTGACCTGTTTCGTGGTCAGATAGCGCTAGAAAATGTGTATCAGGTGTAACGTTAGAAATATTACTACTTATTAAGTCCAAGCATGCCCCTTTTCTTGTCGGTGTAGTTATATGGTTTGCAATAT